TTTTACTTCAGTAGGACACAATTGGTCTCTACGAAGTTGGAGAAGCAGGAACTTGCTGGTCGTTGCTGGAGCATTACCATTTCGGTTGCTGATGTTGAAACTCGGCTATTGTCGAGATCATGCAGAAAGTTCTTCGTGTTGAACGTACACATTTGACGACAGTCAATAAATGAATGAATTATACAGCCTTGAAAGTTTAAAGAAGCTGGAACATGACGTCGTCTCAAGAGCATTACCATTTTGGTTGCTGAAGAAGAATCATTGCCTAATTATTTAAAAGGCCCTGCAAAGAGATTCAAAAAAGAGTCCGGACATTTCCAATATTTTGCCGCAACTGAACTGAAAAAGGGGCACAGGCCGTTAAAAATGCCCGCGAAAAGCAAAGTCAAAATTCGACCAATGAAATTGGTCGTTACAAATCAGCCAATAGGCGCTTAAATTGCAGAATTTCTCACACTGTACTGTCTAGAAAATTGTACCGTACAGCAGTTGTGCAAAGAGTTTGAAACTTTGTAAGGGCTGTAGAATTACTCCTCGACCAGCGTGTAAAGCAAATGTAATATTAAGATGTATTTAGAATTTGATAATATTGGCAGTACGTTATTAATATTGATTTCTATACGGTATAATCGATTTCTTTCCCGATTTAGTTTATCCAGATTGTTTTTATTTTAAGTAAAAAGATAAAAAAAAAATACAAGACTTTTGATTGACAATTATAAAACAAACATTTAAAGCAAAATTTCCTCTTTTGTCCAGTGGTGGATGACGAAAATGACACTTAATTTTTTATTAATTTTGATTTAATGTTTATGCCGGTTAAATTTGTCCCGTCAAGATTGATTTTTTATCTTTTTTTATTTTTTCCAGACTTTTCTTCCTTGATCTCTGGAACTATTCATGAATCTGTTGTCTCCTGCGACTGATGCGCATCACGTGATCACGAGAAGTAATTTTTGAAAATGAATACTTAAAATCACTTTGTCTTATAATTTCGGGATTTGTTTGTCTTAGAAAAAAAAAAAATTAAACAAGCATTTGATACGTTGTGGCGGAGAAAGAAAGTGTCCACCTCTTTTTATGGAAAAAAAGTATTTAATTAAGCCTTGAAAGAGATTGGGATCAGATAATGAACTTAAATAATTTATTATTCATATAAAACAGATAACTAAATGACTCAGATATGTGCACAAGGATATTTTAAAGTCGTAAAAGCTCTTTAAACTAATATTTCTGAATATTACAGAGAAAATAAAAAGCAACAGCAAAAGATTATTTGTTTATTAAAAAAAAAAATTCCCTGAAACATGAAACTGTGGTGTATAATGACAATATTGCCAGCTTCCGAATTTCATTCAACAAATGAAAGTGATGATAAATAAAACAGAAGGACCATGATCTTTAATTACAAAAATATACTGGTAATGAACTAATAAAAAAGTTAAAACGATGTATTGTGCCGTTTAATCACCAGACAGCTTTTATTTCCAACTTTATTTCAACTGCGTCAAAAGTGTCAATAATTAAAAAAAAAAAAAAATAAAATAAAAGCGGCAAAAATTGAATTTAACAAAACTACTTTTGTCGGAGACAAATACAGGAAAATTTATTTTGTTTTAGAAAAAAAATAAAAACAAGAAGCAAAAATGAAGGGGTGTTTTTGGAGGTTTTTGACTTTCTGCATCGCAATTGTCGTCGGCAGCGTTGTATCTCCATCTTTGTCTGTTGACGGCAAAACTGAAAGCGCAGACACGACAATTGAGGCCGGAAGTACAACAGAAACCATTTTAACTTCTACGGACACACCGACCTCAAACCCGCCAGATTCACTACCCCCCACCATGGAAATCTGGCCCAGAAATAACTTCGAAGCCATAGTAAGTACAATTTGATTTCTCTAAAGATTTATGTACCACTTTGTTTTTGTTAACATCAAATTTGATCCCGTAACAATTATAACTTAAAAGCCATTATTATTCACGAGAAAATACAATAGCCACTGGTTTGGTTTGAAACTAGCAAATTGGTTTAAATAAAATCATACAACGAGCCAGGTACCATATAAAAGGCCTTCATTTCACTGATATGTCATGATTATTGAGAAAGAACAGGAGGAGTCCTCGAACAAACTACTCTTTCATAATGATCTTCTTATCAAAATAACACGCTCTTGAAGAAGGTGTACCTAATTTCAACCTTGATAGGACTCAGTTATGTATGATATAAGCAAATACTTATTTTATAAGATTTACACTATTTAACAATCACATATATGTGCGTGCGTAAATCGTGCGGGAGTATATATATATATATATATATATATATATATATATGAAAGTGAACATTGAAGTCAACACTCAGAGGCGACATATACGGATCCGTGGTACATTGTGGGTAATCCATTCTGGCGGTTACTTTGGCAGGAGTGCCAAAATAACTGCCAGAATGGATTATCCACAATGCACCAGTGACCCATATATATAAATAGTCGAGAAAAATCCAACACTCGCAGCCTGACGATTGCGTCAAGCATGAAATAGCCTGTCGCCTCTGAATGTTGACTTCAATGTTCCCTTTTATATTTCTTTTTACACACGCTCTATCTCTGATATTGAGCACTTTATCACATAAATATAGCACACCTTAAATCTATATTTCTTCATATATATATATATAACACTTCCGGTTCAGCGATTACGGAACACTTAATAAATTGCAGGGATTGTGCGAAGAACTTCAGTCCGAATTGGTTCACTGTTCTATCCAGTTCGCACTCTCTTTTACATTTGAAGGCACTTGAGTCTCTGTATATTCGGTCCAGGGAGCCATCTTTGTGTAAGCAAAGAGACTGTCTCCTTGGCCTTCACGTCATTATTCTCTAGTGTGTTTCAAATTTCCCCCTCACACTCCGTTATATATACATATATAATTTTTTTTTTTTTTTTTTTTCCTTCTCTCGTTTATTGTGTATATTTGCACAGCTTAAAAAGAAAAAAGGAAGGAATATATATATGTGTATAAATTAAAACTTTCCCCCCTCCATACCATTAATCTTTCATTTTTAAGTTTTAATTGTATGTAGGTTGTGTGTGTGACTTATTTATTTTGCAATTTTGAGAAATAGTTCCCAGTCGACCCTGATGAGCTTGGGAACGAAACCGGTTGGTCTGTTTGTGTGAGTTATCATCTCTTATTTTTTTATGTTATTTTCATAATGCCTTTAAGAAACAATCCATATTTTTTCCTTGCAATACTACGGTTTTGCACCTCCAACAATTTATTTAAATATATATATATATATATATATATATATATATATATATATATATATATATAAATATATAGTAAAAACCGTTGATATATAATAATATATAATTTACATATATATATATAATTATAATAATTTGTATATATAAATTGTAATTTATTTTGGGGGTTCGTTTTTAATTCCTTTAATTTTAAATTTAAGTAAAAATTGTGTTTTCTTCTAATAACCACAATTTGTCATCATATTCTGCTTTTTTTTTTATTATTAATAAAACTCCTTCCCTTTAAGATAGACTCCTTGACCCCTGTCTCGTTCGTGCCTAGCATCTGACTGCGACAGTGAAAAGTGTAAACTCTGTATTAGGTGTTTTCGGCAAGTTAAGGTCAAAGTTGAATCTTTAGCTTCAAATCTCAATTCCTCACAGTTAACTGCTACATCCCGCCTTCTCTAATGTTGAAAAGACAAACGATAACTTTTGTCGTCTGCTGAAATTCTCTATTCTCCATATGAGGCAAAAGGATTTAATTGATTATTAATTATATATATATATGTGTACTCAGACAACAAAGAAAACATTCTATAAACCCAACCAACTATAATTAATACCCTAAATATGTATATATGTGCACGTGCTTATACCTATATGAGGCAAACGGATTTATTTGATTATTAATTATATATATATATATATATATATATATATATATATATATATATATATATATATATTGGTTGGATAGATGTGAGTTTTGACCTATCAACCAAATATGTTAGCTGATGTTGAGTGCTTTCTAATAAGTACCGCGCATATAATATATAAATAATTATACATATATATATTTATTTATATTTATATACACTTTTCACACATATATATATATATATATATATATATATATATATATATATATATATATATATACATGCACGTGCTTATACCTATATACGTGCATTCATAATCTGCACGTGGGCGCATGCATGAGCATATAAACAGAGACATATGCACATAAATTCAAACAATAATAAGTAAAAATTTTATTTAACCTAATCTCCTATAATTAATACTTAAGATACCACCAAACCAAATAAAAAACGAAATAATAGCGTAGTGAAGATTGTTATATATATATATATATATATATATATATATATATATATATATATATATATATATTAGTATTTATCATTTAAGGATCAGTATCATTAGTATCATATATAAAATATATTTATAATTTGAGCATTAATATCAATTATTTATGTAAAGACCAATATATGACTTCCTAGCAAAAAAAAAAAAGGAAAAAAATGGTGGCGTGCCTAAAGAATATAATAATTCACCAGAAATGCCAACTATGAGAAGAAAGTATGAAAAGAGAAAAAAAAGTGAAGAACTAAAGAGCTAGTATAAAGTGAAAAACGAAAAGAAAAAATGAAGAAAAGGACAAATGATCATGACACCCTACACGTCCGCAGGCGGGAGTACACACGCGAACGCACACCGGTTAGAAAGGCGCATGGCTACACGCGCGCAAACGCACACACGAACACAAACAAAACGGAAAAAACTTACACCAATGTTAAGTGTATAAACAAGAAAAAAATCGAAAAATGTAAGCGCAGTAAATTCCACTGAATAGTAGACGGACAAGTTTGCCTAAGAAACTCTGGAGTCGGTATGGATCAATCAGCTAAGTATCAAAATTTTACTTATATTAATTCTCTGTCTCTATTTATGTCTCTCTTTCTCTCTGTCTGTCTAGCTCTCTCTTTCTCTCTCTCTCTTTCTCTCTCTCTCTTTCTCTCTCTCTCTCTCTCTATTTCTGTCTCTCTCTATATAATTAAAGTTAATGGTCAGAGTTGAATTATATCAGGAAACAGTATTATAAAAAAGTGATCAATACACATATAAAAAGATAATAATTCAACCCTGTAATGCTTTTAAGTATAAAAAATTAGGAAATCAGTCAATTCCGCTATTTTCGTTGCAACCTTTTGGTATCTTCAAGTGATTTTGGTCAATTGATTTCCTAATGCTTTATTTTTTAAAAATTTAATGAATGTGTTATTATTTTAAAATAAATAAATAAATGCATGACGTGAAGTGTGATAGGAGAGGGGAGAGGAGAAGAAAAGTAAGCGTATTGAAAATGTATCGATCGCGGGTTAAATGAAATGTACATACTTTCTTTTCATCCCGGTTCATATGAACTCAAAAGGAACGTTTTAGTATGTATACAACGCGACATAATTTCCGATCTCTGGTTTAAAAGTTTGTTTTTGGTCTGAAAATATTATTATAGCTAACTTTTCTTGTTGACAGAGGTTGCAGATATTACTATGATGGTTTTAAGGTTTGGCTTTGTTTTAAATTTGAAAGTTTACAATCGGATTTTTGCTATTTTTTCCCTATATTTTCCACACATGGTTGGCTCGTCTAGTAGAATTCTTAAGACGTTTTAGCTTGAAAGAGGACTTGTGATTATATTACCTCTTCTTAAAGTTACCTTCAGTACACCCTATGTATATTTTTTCTGGTCATTTGTATCTATTAATCCTGCTTTGTAAATTACTGTTTCAGTTTTGCAAACTCCATCTAATGGACATCTACTTTTATTCATACTGTTGCATATTTCATTGTTAACGATGTTTTGTTGAGCGTTAGTTTTGAAATTTCTGGCATTTTGTCATTTTATCGTGGTTTCTAAATGTCTACTACAGCTGTAGCTTAATTTAACTTTGTTTTTATTAAATATTTTATTTAGTTTAGAATTTTTAGGGAAATGTTTAGTAAGAAAAATATTTTCCCTATTTTACATTTAACATCTAAGTTAAAAGGGTGGGGGGAAACCAAATAATATTTTTTTCTTTTCTTTAAATTATTCTTCATTTGTTGTTTTATTTGAGGTTTAAATTCCAGTTTGGTTTTCATTCCCATCTTCTTTTAAAGTCTTTTCATATTCTTTTCTTTTTTTTATCTTCAAAATTATTTTACTAGAGGAATTTCTAGATAACCTGGACTCTATTCCTTTAGGGATGTGCTTTATTATACTCGCAGGATGGTTGGATCTAACATTCAAGTTTATTTTAATTTTTTTTTTTGGGGGTTCATATATCGGTAAACACTGCCAGTTTGTAGATTTAATTCTACATCCAAATATTTGATAATTTTCTTATTCATATAGTCTTCTATTTCAAAATCGAAGCCTTTGAAGAGTTTGAAGAGCGCTTTTCTAATATTGTCATTTGGTCTTCAGTCGTCTGGCACTATCATCAGTCCCTCATCCCTATACAGGCCATGGTTGTTTATATGTAGAATTTTGTTGATTTCATATAAAATATGTAGGCCTATTAATTCTGAAAGACACGCACACACATATATATATATATATATATATATATATATATATATATATATATATATATATAAAGGACTTGCCTGACGTAATCTGTAAACTGAAATTAACCACAAAAGGCTGACTCAAAATGGTTTCATAGTCATATCTTAATAATAAACTGCAAGGCCTTTATTGGTTATTACAGTCTGTAACCTGTTTTCAGACTACATCGCCAGATTCCAACAATATCTCAACAGGGATTTTAGCCCACTCCTCTTGGATCGAGGGGTGACACTACTCTCTCCCACGTGACTCGGGAGTGGCTGACCGAGAATTTTCGCGATCATGTTACTCCCAGCATGTAGTTGGGGGTGGCGGGAGTGTGGGCTCCTAGCAGAACCAGAATACCAAAGACTCGCTGAACGCCGCCATCATCGTGAACTTGATGCCCAATATGAAGCTCTTGGTCCGAGTATGCTGTTGTTTTTTGAGGCCACATCGATGTCGTCCTATACGCTATGGGTGATCTTATTCAGTACCCTTTTTTCTTTTTTTCAGTACCTTTTTTCTTTTCTAAGTACCCCTTTTCTTTTTCCTAAGTGGAACATGTGTACCATTTTTCGTAAGATATAGTGCTTCTTAATGATTATTTTAGTTTTGCTTTATATAATAGTTCTCAATTACCTGACGCACCTTATATTTGCGTGAGCGTGTACGCTGCTGTTTTTCTTTCTTTCTATTAATTCCATTCTATTGCTTTATCTCTCTTTCCTTCTCTTTCAGTTGCTTTCTCTCTTTCGTTCTTCCTGTCACTTTTATTCTGTTACTTTCTTTCGGCATTTTTCTTTCTTTCTATCGTTTTCTTTCTCTTTTTCCTTCCACCGTTCTTTCTTTCTGTCACTTTCTCTTTCTATCTCTTTCCTTCTCTTTCAGCCACTTTCTTTTTCTCACTTTCTTTCTCTCACTTTCTTTCTCTCACTTTCTTTCTCTCACTTTCTTACTTTTTCTTTCTTACTTTTTCTCTCTTTTCCTTACTTTCTTTCTTTTTGTCTATCACTTTTTCTTTCTGTCATTTTCTGTTTTTCTCTTTCTTTCTCTCTCTTTCTTTCTCCCACTTTCTTTCTCTCTCTCTTTCCTTCTTTTTGTCTGTCTATCTCTTTCTGCAATTTACTTTCTCTCTTTCCTTCTCTCTCTTTTATTTTCTTTCCGCCTTTCTTTCTTTCTTTTTCTCTCTTTCTTTCTTTTTTCTTTCTTTTCGTCTCTATCACTTTCCTTCTTTCTTTCTCTATTTTTCTTTCTTTCGTTCATTCATATTCATATTCTTTCATAAAAATCGAATTAGGTAAATAAGATCTTAAATTGTCAACATTAACTGCGTACTACATAAAATATTTGCAAACTAAACAACAGTTCAACTTTTGAGTGTTTAAAAACAGAAAAGGAAGGAAACAGATGACATCACCAGAGCGGAGTTGCGGAAGTCTGTTGGGTCATGCGAACTCTCTATCATAATCAGGCTTCATCCGAAGAAGGTAAAACCTAACACCTCCTGGCCAACAGTTTGCTGCTCTAGTCCCGCTGAGGATAAGTAATTTCGTTTATTAATATGGCCGTCACTCTTTCGTATTCTGTCACGGGAGGCGATGTCACACCACACCGAAACAAAAAACAAAAAACACCCTCTTAAATTTAGTGTTATCTTACGCCCAACCCCTAACCTTTAGATGTCCTCTTTGACCTTGTAAGTGAACTTTAGAGTCCCCCTACTTTTGAGTGGGGCAGGGTTGTGTGGGGTGGAGTTTTCATGGTAATCACCGGAGGATTTCGTAATTTTTTTTCTGTCGGAGGGAAAATTCGTTTTGTTCATTCTCGTCATTCCAAATTATTCTTTCCATCCATCTAGCCTCATCTTTGTCGTTTTGGGCATAAAAATTTCGGCCGATAGATTCTTCAACCTTCTACTGGTGTATTCTTTAGATACTTACACCTGACTGGTAGTGGGTGTTTGATTTCAGGTAAAAAGAATTTTTTAGACTGACGCAACACAATATTCTTCATCTTGCAAAGTCCTTCATATTTGCTCTTATAACAAATTTAGCTAACCTTAGAAAGCATCAAAAACTCTGACAGATGAATAAAAAAAATTACTATAAATCTAATTGTATGCTCATGAGAGTTTTAAGAATAAGACAAGAGATTTAGGTGTCCTATCTGGATTTATTAATAGGTAAAAATAAAAAGATGAGTAAGACAAGGAGTGACTTTCTCATCCTCACTGAATTTATTTAATCTATACAGACAGACAACCCGAAGAAAACTAAAAAACGTATCAGAATTTATTGTTGGAATTTTGAGAGTCATGAAGCTTGAAGAGATAGTTGGGACTCATTTGTAACCAACAACAACAGATTTAATGATTCATCTACCAAAATATAGGCTGTAAATAGATTCTGGTGAGATTAACGAGGCTATACAACAGGGATTTCGGGCGCTGTGACTAATTGCAGGGAATTTTGAGACCATATGAAATGGGTATTCTTAGGCCGACATTAGATATTCCAACCCGCTAGCTTATGATTCAGTAAAATGGCCTTATTTTAATAACAAACACTTAAAAAAAATTCATCCCATGCAAGGCAGTAAATGCACTAAGACACAAGGGGTTACTGAGAGTGAAAGAATAAGAAAAAAAGAGAAACATTATTAAGGAACGAGAACAATAGAAGAGTAATCAAAAAGACAGTAGATAACGATTGACATTACATATAAATGTGTTTTCTAGTCATTTCGCTCTATGCAAGGCAATAAGGCCACTAAGACACAAGGGGTTACTGAGTGTGAAAGAATAAGAAAAAAAGAGAAACATTATTAAGTAGCAAGAACAATAGAAGAGTAATCGGGAAGACAGTAGATAACGATTGACATTGCATTTAAATTTTTGAAGATCAAAATTGATTGCAAAGCAAGAAGCTGGAAGAGTTCCACCAGCGAAAATTGAGCGAGAACAATAGAAGAGTAATCAGGAAGACAGTAGATAACGATTGACATTGCATTTAAATTTTTGAAGATCAAAGTTGACTGGAAAGCAAGAAGCCGGAAGAACTTCCAGTCCCTGTGGAATTAATAGAATGACAGGGGAGTTCCATAAGTTTTATACTAAGTCGTTTGATTAATTCCTTTTAGCAACTAATCAAACTAAGCAACTAAAGCAACTAAAGGAAAATTCCAAGATGGACAAGATCACCATCATATTAAGCCTGTTTCACTTGCACACCTTGACGTTTCATTACAAGGAAAGCCGTTTTTTTTTTCATTATAAGACAAGCAACGTTCCACTGGTTGGGCTATTATTCGGACTTGTCTGTGTATGGGTGGCCTAGAATGGCTGGATACTGGAAGTTCAATCTGTCTTTGTTGAACAGGCGGGACTTCTGGCAACATCTCATTAGTGTCGTGCAGCGGAAACTACCGGGGGCGGTTATCGGGAATAGGTGGTGGGAGAGGCTTAAGGATAGCATTAGGTCCTTCACTACCGAATATAGCCAGCGGATCGCACTAGATAAGGTTAACAAAGTGAAGGCTCTTAAGGATAGTCTTTCCCAGGCTGTGGCTGGGGGGTCCTTAGAGATATACCTAGATATGGAGGCTCTGCAGCGCGCGTCTAGCGAGCGCTACCAGGGTCAGGTTGTTAGGCATAAGTTAAACAAGATGTCTGGTGACGCTGTCACTGCGTAAGGAAAAGATCCGTCGAGATTCCGATCGTTACATTCAGGAGACCGATACCCCGGAGAGGCGTACTCTGGAGGTCGGCTGATGGCATGTGCGAGGCGTTTCGGCGGTATTTCAAGAGCCGGTTTACCAGGAAGCAATGTCTCCTTGGCGAAGAGTTTCGCAGCTATTTGGCTTACTTTCCTCGGTTTTCGCCGACTGAAGCGGCTAGCTGCGAGGGTTAGATAATGGAGGGCGAAGTTTACGCGACATTGAGAAGGGTAAGTAGTGGAAAGTCTCCGGGGCATGATGTTTTACCCATGAATTATACTTGAGGTTGTTGCACATCTTTGTTCTGATTTTAACTGACGTGTTCAATAATTGGTTCCGCCAGGGGTCTGTCCCCAACCGAATCTCCAGCGGGTTATGATCATGCTGTTGAAAAAAAACCAACAAAAAAACAAGGGTGTTGGGCGGAATTTATATAATTACAGACCCATAACTCTACTAAACAGAGTTATGTCCAAGATCCCGTCGGAGCGTTTGCATTAGACTCTTCCAACTGTTTCCGAATCCTCTGCACTCTCCTCAGACTGAGACCCAAACACTCTGAAATGTTGGTATTGGAGCTTCCAGCGCGAATGCCAAGCAGTACAGCATGCTGTTTCCAAATTTCTGGCGACGTGAATTGCGGTGTCGAACTGACCCTACTACACTGTGCAGTTGACAAAATCAAAAACAAACAACGCGCATGCGCGAAACTAATAATATAAAATGGTGACAATTTACCGATCGCACCCTATTTTTGATTGATTCTTTTTCTACGGCTTATCAACCCTTTTCAGATTATTTAAAGCCAGAAAATATTTTTAGATTGTAAGAATTTTGGAGGCTTAGGGGTGAGATCATAATGATTTTGTAATACAAATTATCCCATATCTGGCGGGGGATATGCGGATTCATGCCTAATCAGACTTTTATAATCAAACAAGAAATTATAATGTGGATACGAAATGTGGGATCAGTTCTATATTACAATCCTACATACAAACTGCTCCCTCACTTTGTGGACACGGTAGTTTCTACACATTCTTTATATTTCAAGATAATGTAAATAAATCTAAAGGACATGTGTAGCTTATCAGTATTTAATTGATTCATTCTTTCATTCATTTTTTACGGCTTATCAACCCTTTGCGGGTTATTTAAAGCCAGAGAATATTTTTAGATTGTAAGAATTTTGTTTTTGAGATAATAATTATTTAGTGATACAACTCTTACCGGGGGGGGGGAGAAGTAGATTCATAGATTTCTCAAGAGTATTTGTGAATATAACGAACCCAACTGGAATTGGAACTCGGCTCCCTGACTAACAATTCCGTCGTCCATTACATCACCCGCACATCCAAGTTTACAGCATCTGGTATTTTCATCGATTTCTCATAGATATGATTGCGGCGTCTTGTGGCTATTTTTAGTGTCCCCACGTTGCTACCGAATGTAACACAAAGTCGAGGTTTCGAATGGGTCTAGCGGCAATACCGTGCAAAAATTGTCCAAGACCCCTCGGCACTTCTCCTTTTGGGGATGTCCCAGGCGCCGGGCAGTATATATATCTCCCGAAGAACAGGTACAGCTTTTGGAAAAGGACCCCTGGAGCATGGGCTTAATATTCTTGACACTTTTTGAGTTTAAATCCTAATATACGTTCCAGGCACGGGGCCCCTCTCAGTGAATATCCGTTTATCATGATAGTCGAAAATACTCCGCTCGGAGATGATAGGGCGTCACTTTACCCAAGATAAAGTATTACTCGAGACTTCGTGTAATGACCCGGCAAGCGATTACATTAAACAAAAAGCAAAAGATGCGAATAATAATAATAATAATAATAAATTGAAAACAAGAATAGTACCCGTCATAGTAGGTGCACTTTGAATGATAAAAAAAGGAACACAACAACACATTGAAAAAATCCCTGGAAAACCCAGCGTGAGAGAAATACAAACAATTGTCTTCATATATATGACCCACACTCTGAGAAGAACTTTGTCCTTGTCTTCATATATATGACCCACACCCTGAGAAGAATTTTGTCCTTGTCTTCATATATATGACCCACACCCTGAGAAGAACCGCGACGTTTGTCTTCATATATATGTAAAAACAACCCTGAGAAGAACTTTGTCCTCGTCTTCATATATATGACCCTCACCCTGAGAAGAACTTTGTCCTTGTCTTCATATATATGACCCACACCCTGAGAAGGATTTGGTCCTTGTCTTCATATATATGACCCTCACCCTGAGAAGAACTTTGTCCATGTAATGTTATGGATGTTAGAATAACAAATCATGAAATTTAGCCATAATATCACACCACTACCTGCCTTATGTCTTCCTGCAGACTTGGTAGGAAGTGTGACCATAGCAGAAATCGAAATATAATAGTAGTAGTAGTAGTAGTAATCAGATTGCACGGTATTGGCACCCACTGAATATAAAGTTTGGCATGACAGACTGAGACAAAATGTACATCGGAAATATGCAACTTTTACTTGAGGGAAACCTCAAGAAACTGGTATGAACACCATCCAGACCCGGTTACAGAGATTGGACCTGTAACCATTTTATTGGACTTTACAATACACACAGACAGAACAATCAATGCTAATCGTCCAGACATTTTGATCAAAGACCACAAGAACAGAATGTGCTTTTTTATTGAAATTTCCTGCAGACTGAAATATGGCTTTGAAGAACTTTAAAAAAAAATCAAACTACAAGGATCTTGAAGTAGAAATCTCAAAAATGTGGCATATGAGGACATCAGTAATTCCAGTTGTATTTGGGGTCCTGGGTTTAATTGGAAAAAGGTTCTGATAGACTCATTGAGGGGGTGGATACCTGACAACTCATCCCTGAAATAAATGCAAAAATTGTTCCCACAAGGACGGCTTACACCCTACGAAGGACTTTATTTATGTAAAATGTGTGTGTTTTAGGTGTTTGTTTTTTTACAAAATGTTCAGAGAAAAATGTCATTTCTGAGCTTAGGTCTCTGGTTGGGACCCGGAAGGAAATGAGTATACAACAGAAATAAAAGGAAATAATAAATAATAATAATAACAACATTTGTTTAAATAATATTAACCGATTAAAACGAAATGTAAGTAGTTTATGGTGTTTGATTTGATTTGCTTTTTTTACGGCGTATCAACCTCAATGGGTTATTTAATGATGACAAGATTTTTATTGCTGGTAATATTGCATTGCTGAAAATATTTTTCTTTCAAAAATGTACTGCTAGTAATAATTTTTACAAAAAAGTATTGCTGGTATTAAGACCTATTTTTATACATTCATAGTGTTTTGACTCTTTTTGTAACTGGGACCCTAACAGGTGCTACCACCCCGGGCCAGGGTGGATCTGGGAATACCAGCAATTAAGAGTTGGTTTCACGCTCCTCAAAACCTGATCAGTGGCATTGCTGTTAGATGTAGTGTATTGTCTTACTCAGGACGCAGATGTAGTTTATCGTCATACACAGGATTGTGATATCATTTGTGAACTATGACACCAAATACATCTGAAAGTTAATTTTCTTCCATTGATGAGTTTGGTTTGCATCCTCTCTCCTGTCGTTGTAGTGCCGGCCGCTTTCCAAGGTATGCAGCAATAAACATCATCATCAGAAAAGGTTTGGATGCAGCTGGGTTCCCTTCGCAAATCTAACCCGTAGGCCTCGAGCGTGGTGATGGAAAGCGGCCGGATGGCATTACCATTTTCCGTTTTAAAATGGGGATGTTATTGATTTGGGATGCGACCTGTGCGGATACATTTTCGGTCGGTAATTTGATCAGGTCCGTGGTTGAGCCGGGGTCCGTCGCCCGGGACGCAGGGATAAAAAAAAAATAGTTAAATATTCTTCTCTTGCTGATAGATTTTTTTTTTTACTCCTGTGGCAGTGGAGACTTCTGGGTTCATTGGCCCTCGTTCGATGGCGTTCTTTCGGAGGATTGGCGCGATGGCGTCTCGATTAAGGGACGCGCCTCGCGAAACGGAGTGGCTCTTGCAGAGTGTCTCACTGGCGATGGTTCGAGGTAATGCTTTCTCCATCATTGAAGCTGGCAGAGGATAAAAAACAAAACAAAAAAAAACATTTTGTTTATAGTTACTTTATTCAAACTTTTTTCAATAAATAATTGTCGGAATTTTCTCGCCATATTGGAAAAAGCTCTGGCTGTTAAATCACTCTCGTTAAACGTAACTTACGTGTATATACATTTCCAGTTAAAGACTCAGCACCAAGCTTTTTTTCCCCGTCACTTTCTTTCTCTTTCTTCCTTTGTCTGTCTATCTTTTTCTGTAATTTACTTTCTCTCTTTCCTTCTTTCTCTTTTATTTTCTTTCTGTCTTTCTTTCTTTTTGTCTATTACTTTCTTTCTTTCTCTTTCTTTCATTTTTTTTTGTCTATCACTTTTTCTTTCTCTATTTTTCTTTCTTCCTATCGTTTTCTTTCTTTCTTTCTTTTTTCTTTCTTTTTTCTTTCTTTCTTTCTTTCTTTTCACTTTCTCTTTCTATCTCTTTCAGCCACTTTCTCTTTCTATCTCTTTCAGCCACTTTCTTACTCTCACTTTCTTACTTTTTCTCTCTTTCTTACTTATGTGAAACTGGATTTTCCTATTCCACTGGAGATAAAATCTAAATAACGAAGTAGTCTTAATCCTGCTGTTGACTTGAGAATCAAATTCTCAAGTATAAAGCCGAGCATTTGGGCACCCTGGGGCGGTGTAATGGTTAACAAGCTTGTCTCGCTAGAACAATTACGACTGAGTAGTGAGTTCGATCCTCACTAGGTGCCCCATACTTTCGGCCTTGTGCCACAACTAAGCTACGCTTGGAAAATCACTATAAAGTCAAATATTAAAAAATTATGTGAAAGGAAAGCATTGTTCCCGTTGAATGTTCCCAAAAATTCTGATTACGTCTGAAATAAATTTTATGTTAACATTGTTCGTAATTTTTTTTCTAAGTTTTTCACCCCAAGCAAGGCGGGAAGCCACTAGGACGCAAAGGGGTTACAGAAGATTTGGAGCAAGATCAGATAGGAATGATAGAGGAAAGGATGAGGAGAAGGATAGTGGATAGATCAAGACAACTGGAGATATCGATTGACATTACATTTGAATATGAAAATTTTTTAAAAAATCACATTTTTATTAAAAAATATATCAACATGTATTATTTTTTAATTGCTTTTTGAACGTACATGTTATTTATGAAAGTATATGAAAATATTTATATTACGACCATATGAAATAGGATTATCTGGACCTCCCCCACCCCCTCACGTCAAATTTTCTGAACCAAGAAGGGTTCCGCGGCTGAAAAACTTTTGGAAACTCTGAATTAATGTATTTTCTTAGGTACCTCTACGAGATCGCTAAAAAAAGCATAACATGATGAAAAAGTCGACAAACTTGACGACGAAAACAAAATTTTATCGTCCAAATGTTTATGTTATTATTAAGAGGAAAGATCAAAATTTTTGGGGGTTTTTTTACATTTTTAATAGTTCCTAGCACGTCCGAAATTTTTTTGAGTCATATAAAAAAGTGACAGATTTCAACCATTTTTTCCATTTTATAAAAAAAAAATGAAAATCTCACTTTGAAATTCTTTTAAATATTAATTATCATTTTTTAAAAACTTATTTTAAGAAAATCAGAAATTATAATGTTTATTTAAAACATTTCGAACCAATTTAACTTAGCTTCTGCGACGAAAATTTGTAATTTGAAAATAAAATAGTTTTCATAAAATTACTTAGGATTGGGGTAATAAATTTAAAAAAAATATTTCTGCCATGTCTTTAATAAAAAACATATTTATAAAAAATTCCATCATCTGTGAATAGTTTCTGAAAGTTTCATTAACATCCTACAATTATTTTTATTTTTGCAAGATCTTCCAAATTAATATTTGTCATAAAAAAAATTTGCTAAAAATTGTATATGTTATTTTTAAACTAGTTCGGTAAATACAAAGAGAAACAATGTTTTTAATCAAAATTTAGAATGTTCTTAAAAAAAGGAAAAAATTTTAAAAAATAATTAAGAAAAACTAATATTTTTTCTTCTTAATAATAACATAAGCATTTAGACGATAAAATTTTGTTTTCGTCAAGTTTGGCGTCTTTTTCATCATGCTATGCTATTTTTTAGCGATCTCATGGAGGTACCTATATTTTCTGAATGCCAGTTTTCTGTGGAAAGTTTAATGAAATGCTTCCAATTACTTTTCTTTGGTTCATGACAGAATTACCTGATTCGCTATGGTTACCTTCAAGCAAGATACGGTTGGTTTTTATGGAACATCGAAGCACGCGAACATCTCGAAGCAGCGATCAAGAATTACCAACGGATGGCTGGAATCCCCGAAACCGGTAAATCATTTTTAATTCATTAATGATAGATAGATAGATAGATAGATAGAGAGAGAGAGAGAGAGAGAGAGAGAGAGAGAGAGAGAGAGAGAGAGAGAGAAAGAAAGAAAGAGAAAGAGAAAGAAAGAGAAAAAGAAGAGAGAGAAAGAAATTTTTCTGGTTTTCCGAGTTTAAAGACCAAGGAAGGAAACGACGTAAAAAAAATGCATTGAAAAACTTAAACATTATTACTGTTAATATCTCTATCTATAAAAGGCTGGATGTGTGTGTTTCGACAGATTTGTACCAAAATTTACATGCACATGCTCCAAGTTAGCGGGAAGGCCAAGACTGATTTTGCATTTTCCAACTCCCATCGATAGTGGAAATAATCGATTTTTTCATGCTTCTACGGCAGTTTTTCGTGCCAGTTTTGCGACCATTTTTCTACTGGCCAGAAGATTCTATCCTGAGTTAATAGCTGGCTGCCACGAATGTTAATTAGCATGCTAGCATGTAAAAAAAATAGCCGCATTCGTCACAAGTGGGAAAAATTTAAATCTGCATGGCACTTTACTCCAATTGGCTTATTCGCTTGCTTAAACTCAACGTTGATTCTGATTCCGCAGAACTGGGTTGGGTGTGAAAAAAAGTATTTGTTGTTAACATTCTTTTTCATTCGGTTTTTCCAGTAAAGTCCTTTTTTAAAGCTGATCATTTTGTATTCATTTTGTTTAGTTCTTTTTTCGTAATAGATTTAATGTTTAGTATAGAGCTTAGAAAAAATTCGCAGTGTGAGATAGGCAAGAAGTAAGGCATGTAGCAACATCAGCACAGCAAAGGGCACTCCTTTAAAGGCAAGGAAAGGCAAAAATATTTTAAGTCAAGTGATAGCGATTGCTGTATGAGTCGCACGATTTTTGAATCAAGCACGGGCAACGCCGGGCCATGCCGCTAGTTAAAATATAATTTCATTTACTAGAGTGTCAGTACTGTTTGTCGAGAAACTCGGTATCAATTTATGGATGAATAAACTTTGAAAATTAATCGTTTGCGTTTCATTTACATCAAATCTTTGGTATCTCGACGTGGTGCAATGTTAATCAAGCTTATCTCGCTAGAACAATTACGAGTGAGTACGATACTCACTGGGTGCTCCATATTTATGGCCTTGTGCCACATTTAAGACACGCTTAGAAAATGACCAGGGCGCCTCGACGTAGTGTAATGATCAGCAAGCTTGTCCCGCTAGAACAATTATGACTGAATAGTGTGTTCGAGCCTCACTGGGTGCTCCATACTTTCGGCCTTGTGCCACATCTAGGCTAGGCATACAAAATCGACTTTTCTATCAAATATATAATAGCCATTTTAAGTTTGACTTACTTCCTGACCATTGATAATCCCTTTCTCGATTTTCATTGCATTTTATAATAAAATCATTACAGTGCATCTATATTATGTATATAATAATCATATTCTATCATTAATGCTTGCATTAATTCCTAACCACTGAAAGTAGCTTTCTTCTGGGTTTTCAATGCATGCCAGTAAAAAATCATTAACAATAAATTTATACTGCATATAATAGTCGTTTATATTAGCAGTGCTTGGCCTTTGACAATTCCTTTTTGGTTAAAACCTTTTTGTCCCTCAGTGTTCTTTTTGGGGGGGCATTATTTTATAGAGGCGTTGAAAACAATAAAGAAAGGTATTATCAGTGGTCAAGAATGAATGCAAGCATTACTGATAGAATAAGGCTATTCGCTATTATATGTATTAGGTTGGTGCAAAAATAATGACGTAATAATGTCGTTTTTTGACGTATTTTTAACGACAAAAAACTACATTATTACGTCATTATTTTTGCACCAACCTAATATAACTAGCCTAGAAGCAGCTCTTCAGGGGAACTTTACAGTAGCTCTTGTGGAAGGCTTTTGGGACTTCGGCTTTTTATCTTCAGCCTTTTACCTTCAGCGTCATATGTACGGAGAAATTAAAAGAATTTAGAAATAATAAAATTATTTTATCTTTATTCGACACCTTAATTCGGCATAATCTTTCTTCGTATACGCAGTCGATTTAAATGTAGTTTGATTATATTTATTTTGAGCGCATTTTTTATTTTCTTTTAAAATCACCATTCTTTTTTATCCCTTCAAAAAAAGTCACTCTTAAGACATTAGGGAACCCAAATTATGTAATATTTTGAATATGTCACAGTACACATGCTAGAAAAAGAAAAAAAAAACATATGAACAACGTTCTGTGCCCCGCTTAAGTTTTAATAAAGAATTGTTTTTGTTTTTTTAACCTTTCACTCTGTTCAATATTTAACTTTAAATGAGTTATTTATTTAATTTTTAATCGCATATAACTACAGTAGTTACGACCTGTTACTTCAGGTTGTTCGCCGAGATCGAAAAACGGACGGACACACATACACTGCGTTTTATTCATATAGATGTAGATGCATTGAAAATCAAGAAGTAAAGGAATGTTTGGTTTGCTTTGTTTTACCAACACCTCAATGGGTTATTTAATGCCGACAAGATTTTTATTGCTGTTAATATTTTTTCTTCAAAAATTCATTGCTGGTAATATTTTTGTTTTTTCCAAAAATGTATTGCTGGAAATAATTTTTTTTTAAGCATTTCACCCCTAGCAAGGCGGGAAGCCACTAGCACGCAAGGGGTTATAGAGGATTTGGAGCGAGATCAGGTAGGAAAAATAGAGGAAAGTATGAGGAGAAGGATAATGGATAGATCAAGGCAACTGGAAATGTCGATTGACATTACATTTGAATAGTTGGAGATTATAGCTATTAGGGAAACAGTAATAGGGAAGAGAGTTCCACGGGCGAGGGGTGCGAGATATGAAGCTATTGGAGTAGAAGATATTCCCCAAAAAGCATTGCTGGTATTAAAACCTATTTTTATACTTTCATAGTATTTTGACCCCTTTTGTGGGATTAACTAATTGCCCATAGCTGGGACCCTGGTGGTTGCTACCACCCCGGGTCAGGGTGGGACTGGGAACCACAGCAATTAAGAGATGGTTCCATGCTCCTCAAAGTCTCCTGGTCAAAAGGCCTTGCTGTCGGATGTAGTTTATCGTCATACCCAGGACGGGTCATTGGTTAGGAATTAATGCAAGCCTTACTGATAGGTATGTATTAAAAATCAAGAAGAAAGGGATTGTCTGTGGTCAGGAATTAAGAATTAACCATTTCTGATATAATAGGTTTATTATTTGAGTAAATGTAAATACATTGGTAATGGTTTTATTATAGGATCGCATTAAAATTCAATCAGAAAGATATAATCAGTGGCCAGGAATTAATGCAGGCATTACTGCTAGAATAGGGCTTTTATATGTATAATATAAATAGATGATTAGTCATAGTTGCAATTAATTGAATAAATAAACCTCCAATAATGATGATAAAAATTCAAATTACAGTTTGTATTTTTACCACCTGGTTTTTGTATGCAAAGGTGTGTGGAAGATGATTTTTTTGGTGAATGTGTCTTTTCATCGTAAACCGTTTTATCATTTGAAATGTTCGTAGAAATGTCTCTGATATAATTTTCATATATTTTAAGAAATGTCATTACTTAACGTTTTATAGAAGTGAAAGATAAGAAGCTGACATTTGTTTGTCTTTTTATGCCTTTTGATCTGAAGCCGCTTCGCACCCCTCTGACTAAAGGCAGTTAATGTTTCAAAGTTTTATATTTATCTGTTTTTAGGGGCGACAAACTCGAAGATTTTCGAATTTGCTCAACCCAAGATACATATACATTCGCACGCAGACGGACAACCCACAGATATATACCATAAAATAAACAATGAGTTGAAATTTAAAATCAAATTTTTATATCGATAGAGTTAACGTAGAAATCAAGCGTTTAGATAACGCTTCCTCTTGCAAATTTAGATTTTATTCTCGTGAAATTTTTTTTTCTGGTGACGCTGGACAATCGGCGAAACATGTCGATGCAATTTTTTTTTAATTCTTTTACATCATACTTCTCTGCCTTCGACTGGGATAGTTATAAAATAATATTAAGCACAAGAGTTCGGAAAGGGGATGGGATTATTACCCGGTGCCTGAAGCGTCCTTAAAAGGGGAAGTGTCGGTGTCGGCTTCAGCAAATCTTCCATGGTATTAACGTCAAACGGAGTTTTAGACTGAATTTGTGTAACATTCGGCAGCGACATGGGCACACTGAAAATACAGAAATTCATCACTCCATCGGATTCTCATTCATCTTTATTCATGATTTATATATATATATATATATATATATATATATATATATATATATATATATATATATATATATATATGTCTATATTTCTGAGATGGTATTATGTACATTATTTACATTATTCGGACTATTGTCCTCATCTTTGTCGCCATATTTATTACAACGTTTCGGCCGTTGTACGCTCCGGCCTTCTTCAGGTGGTTGGGATGTCGAACTGAACCCTTTATTTTGCTCACTGGTTGGACTGTTCTAGTTCCAGGTGCCATGTCTAATGGATGTCAGTTATCAGTTATCTCCTGTTAATTCCCCTCTCCAAGTTCTCCACTGCCTTAACCGGGTATTGAACTCACATTCACACTCTAACCAACGCCTTTTATCACACTAACCAACCAACGCATTTATCCACTGTGCTATGTGTCCTTGAGGTTAGATCAAGTGACAGGTCCCAAAGAGTGTGAGTTCAATACCCGAGTGAGCGAAATAAAGGGTTCAGTTCGATATTCCAAACATCTGAAGAAGGCCGGAGCGTACAACGGCCGAAACGTTGTTATAAATATGGCGGAAAAGATGAATAAATATATATATATATATATATATATATATATATATATATATATATATATATATATAGACGGTTTGACGAAAACATGAAACAGCCTGTCGCCTCTGAGTGTTGACTTCAATGTTCACTTTTATATTTACATACGTTCTATCTCTGATATTGAGAACTTTATCCCATAAATATAGCATACCTTAAAACTAAAATATATATATATATATATATATATATATATATATATATATACGAGAAGTCTGATCAAAAAGTATTGGGACTATTGCTATAAAAAGAAAACTACAACACATATCAATTCGATATTTAATCTCCTTCGAAGTAGTCCCCTTCTGAAGCCACACATTTTATCCAGTGTCGTTTCTATTGATAGAAGGATTCCTGAAACTCTTTTTTGGGGATAGCGAGTAGTCATATTGTGGCATTCTCTTGAATTTCTTCGACGTCTTGTAATCTTGTTCCTTTCAAGTAAGATTTTATTTTTGAGGAAAATGTAGCAAGGGGCGAGATCTGTGAAATATGGTAGTCGTCGGACGTGGAGAATGTTGTGCTTGGCCAAAAACCTCTACATGAGACATGATCACTGATGGAACTTCTGTGGTAAAGTTAGACGACCACACTCTGCACACTTTCCTTCCAAACACTGCTATAAACAACAGAGGGGAGCGAGAACCTTATAACTTAGTGTGCATGCACAATATAATTTATTTAGTTCCGTTAGCATAGCAACAGTCCTGAGACTTTTGATCAAAAGGTATATATCATTTTATTCATTTATTCACACACACACACACACACACACACACGCACGCACGCACGCACGCACGCACAGGACACACACATATATATATATATTATAAATTAATTGATTTAAAATATGTTTTTTTTCTGTACAGTTCTAACCATGTTTCAAAAAGTTCTAAAAACCATATTTCAAAATTAAAAACTAAGTTCCATTTGAATTTAATTTTGGATAAAAAAATTAACATTAAAATCATAAATTTCATAATTCAAAAGTTACAAAATTTTATGAGAGTAACTTTTAAAATTAATGTTTTTAAATATAATTACAAAATAAATAAAATTTAGTTTCCATTTTTGAAAATGGTTAGAATAATAAAAAATATTTAAATTTTAAATTAATGCTCTTAAATCTACATTGAGCACTATTTTGTAAAAATAAAATATCTATAAGAACACCGGATTATATTGTGTTGAAACTTAAATAAGCATGGAATAATACAACACAAAATGTACGTTAACAAAATGTATTGAAAACAAAGAATAGGTACACAATATTTACAGTTAGTTTGGTATATTCTTGGGAAGACTGTTCCTGCATAATGGGTTGACTAAATCGCAGTCGGGCAGAGTCTCTGGATTTTTTTAATCTCTACTATCTTCCCTGTCTTCCGGTACCAACCCATATTTATATGGTCGGTAGTCCGCTTTATGTAAATTAGGTGTATCATACACAACAATATGTTACTGTTGTTTCTTTTATTATATATATATATATATATATATATATATATATATATATATATATATAAAATGGAAAAAATGATATATACCTTTTTATATAGCAAAACAATGTCATGAAAATTAATGACAATGTGGAAAAAATCTTCCATGTGATGAATTTCGTTCTTTAGAACTTCGGCAGGCTAAAAGTAATGTTTACATTGATGCTCATAAAAAGGGGGGGGCAATGAAATTTAAATTCAAAAGTTTCAAATTTCGGTGTCTCCTCCTCCGTTTCCTGAGCATGTGGAGTTGCATCTACGTAATCATTACTTTATTTTAGTTTTTTTTAAGCCCTAATGGACGAAACACATTGCAAGAAAAATCTTTTCCACTTTCTCATTCATTTTCATAATTATATATCACTTTAAACGTTATTTTTAGTGGATACCCATATTTCAGTAGACGCTCCTTTTATTTATTAAACAGTAGATTTATTTCTTTTCGTCTACCGGCCTGAATCTTGGAGAAATCTTATTAAAGAAAAAGATTCACCCTCCAGCATGATTCGAACCACTTTGCAGGAGAAATCGTCTTTAGATCCGACGTGCTTTAGACCGAATTGTCCATGAAAGCTCTCGCAAATCGAGTAAAGCTGAAGAGTGCCTTATAAGCGCAAATCCTTCCCAGATAAATAAAAAATCCATTTTTGATCCTCTTTTTTCACCTGCCTTTGAAATCTTAACTCGCCAGCCATTTTAATTATTACATTTTGCAAATTACTACAGATAAAGTGAATATATTACTGTTTTTCCATTACAATTTCTGAGGCTGTAAACCAGATGATGTTACAGTTTTAATTTTCTATTTATGTATAAAGCGACCCCTGGTGTTGGGATGATTTTTAAAGTTCACATTCTACTTGTACATTCTTGTATATATTGTTATTGCCAGCTAAAGTCTTCCCATAAAAAAAATAATGCCACTAGTGTATGTGTAACCCTTGTGGGTTACCACACTTTACTTTTCTAAAAACTGGGCACTAGGGGATGCCCGTTAAGCATATAAATAGACAATGATATTCTCACTCCTCGTCTTTTTCACTTAGACAACAAGATGTAGTCGCACGTGGGAAAAATGGTGCCCCCCCCCTTACTGGGTAACGTCCATTCCACTTTCAATTACTTTTCTCTCGGACTTCTCTACAAACTTTATACACACAAACACACATTTTCTAGTTTAAATGTTTTCTTTTATTGTCACTGTCTACTTTTTGTTAATAGATACATACATTATATATATATATATATATATATATATATATATATATATATATATATATATATATTTCAATTAAAGGTGCAAATTATAATTTATAAATTCATGAATCATTCATACAAAAAACAAATATAGAGGTTAATGATTTAAATGGCGAGAATACATCTTCGCAAACAATATAAATAAGATACATCAACCCCGAACCTGTATATGAATGATATGATCCCTGTTCATAAATTCCAGTTGCATAAGGTCTTTTAATTTTTACAAGCTTATAGACGGAAAATCTACCAGTAAAAAAGAATTCTCTTTTGTACAAAAACGCACAACCTTAAAATTTAAATTCAAACTCAGCGTTGCGACCGCACGTTCCAAAACAATAACACATTTCTCATAGCATTTTTTCGGATTACATCTCTATTTTCGTTGTCCTCTTATTACCGAGAAGTAAAAACAAGAACAAAATCTATTTCCATACCTGAGGATGTCTGTAGGAACATTTTTGTATGAATGATTCATGAATTTATATATATATATATATATATATAATTTATATATATATATATATATATATTTTAAATATATTATTTTCAAATTCATATTAAAATTTCTTTTTTATTTGTTATATGGCCTTTATGTCTATGTAAATATATATCATCTATATAGAGATATATATAAAGATATATAGAGAACACAGACATAAAGGCCAGAGCGTACAATTGTTGGATAAACCTGTAAATAAATGAAGATGAGGAATCCGAATAATATCAAAATAAATAAATATCGGATTAATAAAAAAAAATTTACTTTCTAAAATATATATTTACTCTATCAGTAATAATCACATTTCTAGTATGTCATTTAAGTAGTGGATTAATTGTATCTTGTATATTTGGGCAAAGAGAAAAATGAGTAACAGAATCAGACATTATCGCTTGTAATATTTTAACTTGGGTTAAAAAGTTAATAATAGCGATAAAAACGGATTTCTTAAAACAAGAGTAAAAAATGACAAAAAAGGTTAATAAAAAAATTACATTTAAAAATTATTCGCATTACAAAGGGATATTGTTCGAACTTATATAGATTCTCAAACGTTTAATGAAATTTAATTGAGATATTTTTTCAGTACGAGAAAATTTCGTGGTTATTTATGTTTTAAAATCAAGACAAACCTTTCCTCGAATTTTAAATTCCGGCTAGCTATTTTCAAGCAGAAAGATGTTTTGGTTTAAATTGAACATATGAAGCTAATCATCGAACCAATTTTTTTTGAAGAAAATAAAATTTATTTGACATTAAATAAAATGTCATGTTTTGATCTGAACTTTTTTCTCTCTTTTCGTTTCCGATTTGACAGGTAAACTCGATCAAGACACATATCGGATGATGAGGGAGCCAAGGTGCGGTGTGCCCGACATGAGCTACACTCAGAGTTTGCACATAAGAACAGGACTTGGTGCCCGAAGACAGAAACGGTTTGCAGTACAAGGTCAAAACTCTTAATCTAATGCAACGTATTTAGTTTTCGTAAAATACTCGGAGATTTCAATTAATTTATTTGCACATTAAAACAGGTCTTTGCCTTCATTTTCTTTTTGCATCAGCTAGAGAGTTAGCAAATCAGTAATAAATCTTCGGAAGAAAGGCGTTCTTAACGATGTTTCTAAGGACGAATGACAGTCTTTCTTTCCTTTTGTCTTTGACTTTCTTTTTACCTTTGATTAACATTTATATTGTATGTTGGTTCAAATTGGCATTATGAAGACTAAGCCTCATAGATTGTAAGTAACTTAAACAAAATAATTGCCAAAATATTTTGATAAGGGCTAATAGAACTTATTTAATCGAAACGGTTACCCAGAATATCCAAGACGTGACAAAGGAATGAGATTAAAATTTGGACATCATTTTGTTGAAAATCGCGATTCTTAATGAAGACATTTCGTGTCCATATTAATACGGTAATATTAAAGTATAATTTGAAATATTTTCATAGCCCTTGATTGCGTTTCCATTGAGATAACATAGCGTTTTCAACAAAAAAATAAAATAAAATTCTGCTCTCCATGCAAATTTGTCTCCCTATATGAAGTTATTTTGAGGCAATCTCAGCTTAAGATGAAGATATTATACACGTTTAATGGACACACCCTTCAACTTTCTAACCCCCCAAAAACAGATACTAGCAGCAGCTCGATATGATCTCTCATCTCTCACCGATAAGTGCTGAACATGAAAATGCTCATAATTAATAATCTCGTCTTACCTTTGGTGTCCAGTGCCTCAGGCTCACCGGCCCTTGTTTTGCCTTTGGCATCCAATGCTTGAGGCTCACTGACCCTCGTTTTGTCTTTGGTGTCCAGTGCCTCAGGCTGACAGACCCTCGTTTTGCCTTTTGGTGTCCAGTATCTCAGGTTCATCAACCCTTTTTTGCCTTTGATGTCCAGTACCTTAGGCTCACAGACCCTCGTTTTGCCTTTTGGTATCCAGTACCTCAGGTTCATCAACCCTTTTTTGCCTTTGATGTCCAGTGCCTTAGGCTCACAGACCCTCGTTTTGCCTTTTGGTGTCCAGTATCTCATTCCACTATATACACGAACAACTAGTATATATTTTCAATCTTGTTGAAGACATATGATTCCACGAAATTATTCTTTTGAAATCTTTAGCCTCGAAATGGAACCACCAGACAGTCACATATAGGGTCAGCGTCTACCCAGAAGATTTGCTATCAACTGAAGTGGATCACATTATCGATAAAGCTTTTCAGGTGAGTTTCTTTAGAATAATTTCCAAACCATTTTTTCTTTCCAATCTCACGAGAAACGGCTAATATTATCATTGCCATTATCACTGTGGGGATTATCATTAATAGGTATTTAATTGGAGCAGCCAAATTTGACAAGCGACCATATTTGTGTCGCTTTGAATATAGTTTGAACTATAATTTGTGTATTTGTATTGCTTACGCGAGTTTGACAAGACTCAAGAATGTTTCAAGAAGTTTTGACAATATAGATCTGGAAATATCAATTAATCTAAATATTCCAGACTTGTGTCATCTTTGTTCTAGAAGTATGATTTGTTTAATACGTGTCCTCAGGTGTTGCTGTCAGTAATATAGTAACAATTTGAAGTAGAAGTTTTCTTTGACTCATTCTCTTTTACTGCTGAAAAACGTTTATTTTATTGTGATGGATGGTTACAAGCGAGAAGGGAGATGGGATGTGCTTATTTTATTACCGTATATGGTATTTGTCGAATTTCTTTTCTTTTTCTTCTCACTCTTTTTGTTGTTAGCGGGCATTGCTGACGTCCGTAGATGAGCGACAAACAACGTTTCTTAATGTTATAGTGGAACACACCTATTCTATAGTTAATAGACTCTCCCACCTATAATAAGTAGGGATAGCAGTCGCTAAGTCGCTGAGTGAATTGGTCAGTCAGTCGATGTCGGACGACCGTTAGTCGGATATTAAAGTATCAGCCACCACAACTAGATTGCTGCGTCATTAAGTCTTATATCAATTTCCTAACGTTTTGTACGTCGAACCTATTTTAGGACCAACTTAGTGAAATACAAGCCCCCACTGTGAAACTACTCTATAACACTTAAAATGTTTGTTTTCTTTCGTTCTCACTTGTTCATTCACACTCTTTCTCATACATAACCACATACATAGACAATGGTTAGTGTTTCTCGAATTTTTTCAACTTTCGGTGAAAATAAAGTTTTCATCATTTTAAACTATTAGCGATTTTCACTACGGAAGATCAAACGCGAAGACATTCTTTTGCTTTTGAAACTGGAAACATTCATAAGATTTTTTTTCGCTGGAGAAGAAATATACTTTTCCAAAAATTTTTTAAATGAATAAATTAGAAAAAAAATTGTTATCACTTATAATACATGATGCGATAGAAGTACACCCCCCTCAGAAATACCCCCCACTATAATAGTAAGACATTAGCTAAATAAAGACACCATTGTCACTAATTTCTTACCATTATGTGGGAGGTATTTCTGGGAGGTATATTTGGGAGGTATTTCTGCCGCACTCTGTATTATACCAAGACTTCAGTTCTGATGTAATGGAATAACCAGTCACCCCCCCATTAATGACTACACTATATGTAGTAAATACTTATAAAGTCAACCGTCTACGAGAGGCTGGGGGAGAAGCATGAGAGCGAGACGACGCAAGCACGTCCGACCTTCCAATTAGTGGCACTCACTACAAGATTGACCTGTGTGTATAACTGTACCGTATTTCATATTGTACTTGTTGTGTACACTAAACCTGTCTTCTAGTATCCACCTGGTGTTATGTATTTGTTCCCTTAGCACGGAATATAACAAGTTCTTTATTCATAAAAAGTATTTTCTAAAAAAAACAAAAAAACAAATAAAATTTTTTCCCATTTTTAAGGTGTATACTTACGCATATGATCTTCTGTAGTAAAAATAGCTGAAGTACATACTACGAAAAATTACCTCGAAACTTTTTTGTAGCGCAGCCCAATTTATGATGAGCCATAGAAAGAAAGAATGGCTGCCCATATGTCGTTTATACATTAGGTATGTGCAAATGTTTCCATCGCTTTTATTTTTAAAACTAGACTACACGTAATATATATCTCTGTATAGTCTGTTAGAAATATATTTCTAATGTGAAAACTTGACGCACTCTACTTACAAAGACTCAGCGGGACTATCAAACTAACAATTGCATAAGGTCAACCTTACAATACGCGGTTTAGTCTAGCATTTCAAATATTTTTCATCGCTGACAGAAGCAGCTTCAAGAATAAAGATGATCCGAGCCTGGGAGCAAGAAAAATAGAGAAGTATATTCCAAATTACCCAGATTCATAAGAAGAGGAAAGTTAAGAAGATAACAAATAGAAAGTTGTTGATACGAATTAAAACCAATGAAATTCTATTGAATCAGAGAATTCAAATTTGAACGGAAATACGACGTGAATAGATACAATGTAAACACACGTCGCATTTACAATCCTATGGCATTTATAGTGATTTTCCAAGCGTAGCTTAGATGTGGCACAAGGCCGAAAGTATTGGGCACTTAGTGAGGATCGAACTCACTAACCAGTCGTAATTTTTCTAGAGAGACAAGCTTGCTAACCATTATATGTGAAGTCATATTGAAGTGGTGATAGGTGTACCATTGTTGTTTATTTCCGACGGGATCATTAAATATGTAGCTGTTGTATTATCATCGTTGTAGTGGTTGAGTTACCATTATTTAACTTGGGCTAGGAAAGATGAGATTAAGGACAATGCGTGAAAGCAATGCAATTTATACTTGACGTAAATAGCACATAGAATAAAATACAAAACTGAACTGAATGATTCCAAATCATAACAATTAGATTTATTAATGTTTGATGTACATGAATGTGAACTGAAAAGGTAGGACAGAGTCGTGTCCCTTTGATTAGGTATTAGTTGTACCGGAGTTCATATTAAGAAAGTTTGGAATTGTGAGTTTGCAAAGTTGGTAAAAGTTCAGGAGTGATTTCAGAGTTCGTGAATGTTGGTAATTATCTTTAACGTCTGGTCAGCAATGACTAAGACTGGAGCCCGTGAAGGTTACATCTTGGCACTTGGTAACTACTACTCAAAAGGTTCACACGTGTTCGGTTTATATAATGGTCAAGTGGCTCCTAGCATATGAGCGGGAAAACAGATTGGTCGCGTGCAGGCGGTTTGATTGGTCGGAACTGACCAATCAGCAAGCTAGATTGGAGGTGATTGACCAATGAATACTTGTTATATTGTATGAAAGTAGAATTTTACTTACCAGATAGGAAGAGTGCATTTCCTAAAAATATGTAAGGCTGGTTTGTTGTGGAAGATTCCACAATATATTCAAACAAAATTATTCACAGAATATAAAAAGGACACTTTAAGAATCAATACAATACTTAACAAAATTTATTTTACAATTTTAAATTAGAATGCAAAATAAATTATAAACTTTTATATTATTATATTAATTATAAAGTATTATTTAAAATGCCAGAGAAAAAATAATTAATTACAATAAAATAAAAATAAAATAAAAGTAAAAAATATTTATTGCTCTATTTTTGTAGTGAGCCCTGTTTTAAATTAATGTTTTGAACGTTGAAATTTTATTCTTTGTTCTTTTACATATATATATATATATATATATATATATATAAAAATGGTGGTACTCGTTTGGAAAAATCTCGGATAGTTCAACTTGCAGTAGAACAAATCGGTACCCGAGGAAAAATGGGAAATTAAAAAAAAGAAAGAACCAAGAACATTAAACTAAGGCGAAAACAATCGTCCAGTGTTCAAGCTCCAAGTCCAAAGAAAAAAAAACGAGTAAAAAGACAACTACGTAAAGTGCTCAATACACTAAGTAGAGCGATAACCTAAGATAATCCTTAGGAGCCAGGCAAACCTACCTAGGTTTGCCTGGCTCTATGATTATATATATATATATATATATATATATATATATATATATATATATATATATATATATATGTATATTTTGAACAATAAGAAAATAAAAATTAAAAAATTAAAAATTAAAATCATTAGACACACTGGGTTTGTAGATTAATAATATTCTTTCGTTTTTTTATTATTATTATTCCATTTAGATTCCTCGACTAGTTTCGACCGAAATGGCCATCATCGGGAGGAGAAATATATCTGCTTGCTGTTGGCAATGAACTACAGAAAAAAAAATATATATATATATATATATGTATGTATGTATGTATGTATATATTGAAGTCACCACAAATATGAAACCTAGCTGAGGGAAATTTAGTGAAGATATCAATCCTCTCGGATATTCGGCCAAAAATTAGTGTCCCATCGTCCCGAGGACGATAGAGAGCGAAGATTAATGTAACACTGTGGATAAGCCCCAGGTTGTTGGGGACTTTGTGTTGATTATTTTGTTGCTTACTTTCACAATTAAGCTGGGTAATGATGTCTGTAAATCTGTCGTTCAGAATGACCCCCCTTTTTTTTGTCTTTCAATCTAACGCTACGAAAATCTTGCAGGTTTGGAACAACATAACAACAATCCAGTTCTTCCGAAGTGAGTTTGGGCCTGTCGATATTGACGTAAAATTTCTGGAATCCGACCACGACGACGGGGTTCCTTTTGATGGTCCCGGCGGTGCCACTTCCCACGCCTTCTTTCCGAATGATAATAGCCTCGGATTGAGCGGGGATATCCACTTTGACTCTAGTGAGAAATGGAGCCTGGCTGTAAACAGCACCCCAGAACCAGGTAAGCGAGAATTACGTCTCTTTACTATCTCAATCCCGCGAATAAAATACTTTGCAAATCAAAGACAGAGTAGTCTCCCTTTTAGGATATGTGTTGTGGTGTAATGGATACCGGCTCGGAATGAGAAATTGGAGATCCGAGTTCGAATTCCAGTCGGATTCATTACATTCACTTATGCGCAAATAACCTTGTGAAAGGTATGCATTCATCTATTCTCCCCCAATCTATGGGTTGAATAGCAGGACAAACTGGATTCTATAGACTTGATTAGCAGCCAGTCTACCGTAGAAAGAAACCTACTGCAGGAAAATCTCTGCCTAGACAAACATGAATCAAAATAATGTATCCCGTGTGGCACTTAACTGACTGCGTCTCCCTTTATCCGCGGGTTCGTTTTCCGCTGTTTCGGTTCCCCGTGATCAACCTCAGGAAATAAATTATTCATTTAACAATGATCCTCGAACATAAGAGTAGGGATTCTGATTTTCTTAGTCGGGGTGCTCTATGCTAGGGTGACACACTTCCGAAAGTATGGGACACCCAGTGAGGATAAAACTCATTACTCAGTCGTAATTGTTCTTGCAAAAAAAGCTTGCTAACCATTACAGCACGTCGGGGTGCTCTATGCTAGGGTGACACACTTCCGAAAGTATGGGACACCCAGTGAGGATAAAACTCATTACTCAGTCGTAATTGTTCTTGCAAAAAGCTTGCTAACCATTACAGCACGTCAGGGTGCTCTATGCTTCCATTCTGGTGAGGATAAACTCACTACTCAGTCGTAATTGTTCTTGCAAAAAAAGTAACCATGGGACATGCTAGGGTGACACAGGATAAAACAGTGAGGATAAAATCATTACTCAGTCGTAATTGTTCTTGCAAAAAAAGCTTGATAACCATTACAGCACGTCGGGGTGCTCTATGCTAGGGTGACTTTCTAGCGTAGTTTAGATGTGGCACACTTCCAAAAGTATGGGACACCCAGTGAGGATAAAACTCATTACTCAGTCGTAATTGTTCTTGCAAAAAAAGCTTGATAACCATTACAGCACGTCGAAGTGTCCCAAGTGATTTTCTAAGTGTAGCTGAGATATGGCACAAGGGCGAAAATGTGGAGCACTCATTGAGGATCGAACTCATTACTGAGTTGTAATTGATCGAGCGAAACAATCTTGATAACCATTACATCATAACGAAGTGTCTTTTTTTTTTCTAAGTTGAGCTGAGATGTGGCACAAAGCTGAAAGTGAGGATCGAACTTACTACTCTGTCATAATTCTAGTGTTATTGACGTAGCCGGTATTCAGATTTTCAATTTTTCCGTTGCTCAGTCTCTCAATCAAACAGTGGATTTCACTACTCGTTTTCCTAATAATTCTGATCAACATTCTTCTTTACTTGATTTGTTCCTTGCCTCCTCTTCTGACTCTTGTCGAGTATCACAACTCTGAAATATTAAAGTCGGAATAGTAGAAAAGGAAAGAAAATAAATGATAGACCGATGATGGTTCTGTAAGGTTAAGGAAGCCCAGATTAACATAACAAGAACAATGTATTCATATGTTTTGCGGCTTCTGTCTTTTCGATTTATATCTGAATAAAAGTTGATGCTAACATAATGCGAACTTGCCAGAAAAGATTCACAAACACCAAATTAATGAAATCACCAGCAGCTTCTCCAGAGATTAATATAATAAAAAACACCCATTAATATGAAAATCAAAATAATATTGAAGTAAAGAAGATCTCTGGGAAGCAACATACCATTGTTACATGTGATGTTAAAGTCGGAACCGTAGAAAAGTGAACAAAACGAAAGACTGATGAAGTCTTTGTCCAAATTTCTAGTATGAAGCGTTATCATTATTTACATTATTTATTTATAGTCTAGGGAAGCACTGGTTTATGCATTTTGTGACTGAGTATTAAGAGTTCAATCCCTAGGTCGGCTAGTAAAAACTTAGATTCAGTGAAAAAACGCGCAGCAATTGCTATGTATAAATGAGAACAAGGCACAATATATCTCTTGATATGGTTATTTAAATGAGAACAATCTACTTCGATAAAGGAAATAAAGGGTTAAAGTTAGGGCTTTTTTCGAAATTCTACGAGGGCTACTCATATTGACAAACACCTGAAAAGGGCCGGAGGATGTAACGGCCGAAATGCTGTAATAATAACAGCAAAGGGACATTAGTTTGAATGTAAATAAAACTGATGAAAGTTGTTGAAAATGTTGGATTACCGACCCCTGATAATAATCATAGGCAGCGTGATTTTGAATTACCGCCCTTTGACGATAATTACAGACGGCGCGAGATTTTAAAGAATCGATATCTTTCTTGGTGAAGGTTGCTTTGAAATCTTCACATTTCATTTCATTTTTTCTTTTGTAAAATTTCCTATCAATATATTTGTTAATATTTACGTTCAAATTCTATGTTTTATTTTTCTTTTGAACTTACACGAGTCCACCAAAAATGCTTGCGAGTGAAATGTACCAGGAGCATATAAAATCTCATTGAAAGTGCTGAATCTTGCAACAAATGTCAAAGAGTCTAGATTAACCTCTCATTATAGTGTATATATGTATAGCTGGCCACTCGTATTCGGGGATACCTGTCTACTAGGGCGGCTAGCCAATCCCTATTGCATTTGTGATTATTCAACACCCACAGACCCCACCCGTGGTTTGTACTGCAACTATGCTGAGCAAACCGTAATTACAGTTTCTTAGTTATCTAACATGATCAACAATTTAAACAAGTTCAGCACACTCAAACTCTCGGTCACGATGACTTGCGACTTCGTGCTAGCACAGCTATCAACGGCACCCAAGGGTTCCGTCGACCCAATTTCACTTACAAGGCTTGGGTCGAACCGTGGTATGGTTTTCAGGCACATTCCAAAGGTGCCGCACGAAAGGATCGACCACTCCTGTCCGATAACATCCGGAAGTTTCCTTCCTGATAAATTGACAATTGTGAGATTCGAACCCGGGTCTCATGGTCAGAAAGCGAATGTTCTAATCACTCGGCCACGTCCCCGTTATAGTGTAAAATAATATAATATTGCTTCTGCGGACCATGTCTTTTGTGTTTATAAATAAATTTATGTTTCACTTTGTTTGCTTATGAGACGTTTCCAAGAAAGAAAAAAAAAAGAAAAAGAAAAAAGGATTTAGAAACACTAAATTAATGAAATAATCCCCAGGCTCTTCAGATAATAATCTAATAGAAAACTGCTAGTCCGCCATTAATATGATAATGAAAAATAATATTGAAACAAAAAAAATCTCTGGCAAGCAATAAAAACTGCCGTGAATAATGTTACAGTCGAAACATTAAAAAAACGTCAACAAAATCAATAAGTTTAAGACTTATGAAATTTACAGAATGCAAAAAAGATCTATATTAACAAAAACTCGATGCGCAGCAAATACGTAAATGTAAGTTCATTGTTTATGAAAGCAGTAAGTGAACTTCTTTAAGCTGAAAGAAAGTCAACAGTAGTTCATTGAAATATTCTTTCCAACGGAAAACGTCGAACCTTGAATCAGCATTCATGTCAGATAAACACAAGAAACGCAGGCTATAATTCGTAAAGGATCACAAAAATTGGACAACAGAGAATTTTTTTAAAAATATGGGTCAGTTCAGCCTTGCATCAACGGTCCAGACTATTGCTTGTGGTGTAATGATGTAGGGAATATTTTCTTGGTCTGGACTGAGACCTTTTGTACCAATAAATAGTAATGATACTATATAAATAGTAATGATACTATCAGTTTCCTTACAAGGAAACATTTGGCATTCATTGACTGAGCAGACAGTACTGCTTCAGTTGAAATTTATAAAATCTTAGTATCTGTCTATTTTTCTGAGATGAGGTATTATGTACACTATTTACATTATTCGGACTATTGTCCTCATCTTTGTCGCCATATTTATTACAACGTTTTGGCTGTTGTACGCTCCGGCCTTCTTCAGGCTGTTGGAATGTCGAATTGAACCCTTTATTTCGCTCACTGGGGTAGACTGTTCTAGTTCCACGTGCCATGACTAATGGATGTAAGTTATCAGTTATCTCCTGTTAATTCCCCTCTCCAAGTTCTTCACTGACTTAACCAGGTATTGAACTCACACTGTTTTGGGTCCTGTTACTTAATCTAACTAACGCTTTTATCCACTGTGTCATGTGTCCTCGAGGACAGTGACAGTGAAATAAAGAGTTCAGTTCGACATTCCAACCACCTGAAGAAGGCCGGAGCGTACAACAACCGAAAAGTTGTGATAAATATGGCGACAAAGATGAGGACAATCGTCCGAATAATGTAAATAGTGTATATAAAATCTTACTCTTAAGGTTTTTCAACTCCAGTAGCTGTTATCGCTCTTTCCACTACTGATGGGAGTTTCCTTCCTAACCTTTTACTTGAAGTAGTGTGGGAAATACCACACCCTACATAGATATTGTCTCTGACCACATGAATCAATTTATATCTATAAATTTATATATGAGATGTTGGGTTAATCGAATACGATATACGATCAAAAAGTATCGGGACTGTTGCTATGGAAACGGAGCTAAAGTACGAAGAGTAAAGCTGCTTATAACGTTCTAGCTTGCTTCCCGTTTTTTTATAGCAGTGCATGGAAGGAAAGTTACACACTTTGTGGTCGTCTCACCACACCACAGACGTTCCCTTAGTGACCATGTTGATGTTGTGTTAATGAATTTTATGTTTCTATGGCCTATTTGAAGTTATTTATAAATATTTTTTCACTTGGATTCGTTGTATAATACAATCTGACAACTCCAGAACAAATTATCATCAATATTTTTTAATAAGGGTGATATTACAAACCGAAGATCACACTGCTCATATAAGAAAATCACATTCTCTGTATAAAAGATCACACTGGCCATATAAAAAAATCACACTGTCTATATAAAAATCACACTGTCTATATAAAAAAATCACACTGCTTATATAAAAAGAATCACACCGTCTACATAAAAAATCACACTGGCCATATAAAAAATCACACTCTCTATATAAAAAATCACACTGCTTATATAAAAAGAATCACGCCATGTACATAAAAAATCAGACTGCCTATATCAAAAAATCACACTTCCCATATAAAAAATCACACTGTCTATATAGAAAAATCACACTCTCTATATAAAAATCACACTGGCTATATAAAAAATCACGCTCTCTATATAAAAAATCACACTGTCTATATAAAAAAAACCCACACTGCTTATATAAAAAAGAATCACGCAACCCATATAAATAAAAAAATGCACATTACCCATATAGTCGAACAAAACCTATGAAGAAGGCTAATATTGTCGCGATTTCTCCATCGACTATGAACTGACCCAGATCATTGATGAACCCCCACCCGATACAACAGGACACCACGCGAACTTACTATATTTCTTCCTCACATCCAGCCCTGAAAAATGCTCTACTGGTCATTTCAGGCCACGCCCTGATCAATAATAATGTTGATGACAACCAATGGCACCCGTTGATCCGCTGTTTCATGGGCGATTTATCGATACATCAGAGCTGACTGGGTTAGCTTCAAATCTTACATGACTGAAGCTCATCACCCAGTATTCTTTCAGTATAGAACCTCCAGAAATGCCGCCCATAATTTCTGAATGTATCCTTTCTGGCATGGAACTCCTGATTCAGCCCAGAATGTGCTGCAGCCATAACTCACTGTAAACGCTACTACATCGTTTACAAAGACCAGCATAAGTAGGACACTGGTTAAATTCAGAACTTGTTTTGCATTTGGCATTCAATACCTCAGGCCCACCGACACTCGTTTTGTCTTTTGGTGTCCAGTGCTTCAGGCTCACCGACCATCATTTTGTCTTTTGGTGTCCAGTGCATCAGCCTCTTGTTTTGCCTTTGCAAGAGTTGCAAATGCAAAGTGCAACTGTGCACAAGCAGTTCAAGAAAAACGTCGAACGCAAACGACTTGGATTCAGGTTCACACTATACAAGGCCTGGGAGGGCTACAGAGTAAGAAGCACATTTTATGCGTATAGATGGGGAAGATAACAGTTAACTCTAAACTTGAACGGGTTAAGATTGTAGTGATCGGGGAAACGTCCCCTTGGGAGCTGGTTCCCAAGAATAGTGGTTCACAGGAAGAAACTGCTCGAGTAGAATCTCTCACCAATGGAATGCAACGGTAATGACGGTAGTTTTCTACAAAGTCAGTGAGAATAGGTGGGACCAAGGAATGCAGTTCGTCCGAGCACTTTCCATGGAAGTAGTGATAGAGCAGTGAAAGGCTTGTCACATCCCGTCTGTGAGAGAAGAGTTGGAGGATGGAAAATAATTCATCACCTACAAGGATGCGGAGACGCCTTTGGACTCTATCGAGAAGTGAAGACTGAGTAGCATCTATCTGAATATGACAACAGTACTCCATTTTAGGCCTGATCTGGATCTTGTAAAGGTCGAGGTAACACGTGGAGTCAAGTACTTACTGGAGTGATACAGAGAACTGATCATTTTCCTGCATCTTTTGGGATGAATCGTATGTACGAGTTCCATTTGAGGTCTGGGTTGAGTTTATGGCCTAACAAACGCTCAAGACACGGGGCCTTGCCGAAGGGACATCCATTCATCGTGACTGGTGTTAGTTCGTGGTCCGATTAGCGATGATGGAATGTAACTAGTTTGGTCTTTGAGGCACTGAATATAACCAGCTTGTTCCCCCCATCCCCCACCCCTGAGATATTAGAGCTAAGCTCAATGAGAGCTCAGCTGCCAATCTTTGGTCATCACAAGTTTTGGAGGTGCATCCATATATTATTGTATCAGTGGCACATATATTCATAAATGATCTGAGTATACTCTTAATCAGATCATTTATGCAAAGTAAAAATAGGGTTGGTCTGAGATTGATTGCTACAGTCCCAGAGGACTGACTATTAACAACTTACCTACAGGGACATACCTGTTGAGAAGGACTTTATAACTGAGAAGACTCTTCCAGTAATTCCATAGCTAGAGAGCATGAGCAGCAACCCTTTGTGCCACATTTTGTTAAAGGCCTTCAAAATGTCTAATGCTATGGTCCTTGAGGTGAATTTGTTGTCTCGATTCTCGCTGATTCTGTGAGTAACGGTAGTTAGGACATCAGCAGTGGATCGGGCCGATTGAAACCAGTACTGCTTGTTGCTCAAGAGGCTGTTCTTATCTAGATGCACAACAACCTTCTTGTTGATTATAGACTCAACAAGCTTGCTAACGATACTGAGGAGACTGATGGGTCTATACTAAGAGGCGGATCAGCGCTCAACTGCGTTCTTGAAAACCGGACATACGCTTGACACTTTCCACAAGCTTGTTATCTTTCACATATTCGCATAAACTACACCTCTTACTCTTAACGCTTAGACAACAACTACCTTCAGTAATCTTCTACTCTGTGTGGCCTTTCGGCTTTGTATAGAGATATTTGTAAAAAAAATTAATTAATCTGACTGTCCATATAAAAATCATACTGCCCATATAAAAAAGAAACACACTGTCCATATAAAAAAGAACACTGTTTATTTTGGACGTTGCATAAATTTGTTTTGGAGAAATCGAGGGAAACTGTATGGAGCAAATGGCTTACGAAACATTTAGAGTTCGTGCTTCACATTGTAACAACAGCATTATTTTTTTTTTGTTGTTGTTGCCCGAATCAAATTTCAGCTTCGTCTTGTGAATCGGAAATTTGATCCTCTTAATTCAGCGCAAAAATGTAACATTCTCCCGGATGGGGTAGGCGTGTGGGCAGTCATATTTCTCTCATGACCTACTGCTTCCATTAAAAAAAAAAAAAAAAAATTAGTAATCACGTGTGGCCTTTTTCTTCTTGATACGCAAATGCACAATTCCATGTTGGAAAATATATATTTTTTTCTCTTTTTCGACTGAAAGGATACACAAGCCTCTTCTGCTTGGCCGTCCATCAGATTGGCCATTCTCTCGGACTCTTCCACTCGAGGACAAAACACGCTTACATGTGGCCCTTTTTGAAGGACTGCAACAGGACCTCCATGACCCCTGATCATATTGAAGCCCTTCATTTTTTATATGGTGAGTATTCTTTATATGGTGAGTATTCTTTATATGGGGAGGATTTATAGTTGTTGCATCGATCCATGAATAACGTCCGGGTTTGTCGTAGAGTCGGTAACTCCAATAATTTAACCGTGAATGCGAATAATTAGGTCGCTTGCATTATTTACATTATTCGGACTGTTATCCTCATCTTCATTGTCATATTCACAACGTTTCGGCCGTTGTACGCTCCGGCCTTTATGTCTATGTCTCTCTATATATATGTCTATATCTCTGGGATGAGGTATTAGGATTACTTGCATTATTTGCATTATTTGGACTGTTATCCTCATCTTCATTGCCATATTCACAACGTTTTGGCCGTTGTACGCACCGGCCTTTATGTCTATGTCTCTCTTTATATCTGTCTATATCTCTGAGATGAGGTATTATTTATAACAGTCCGAATAATGTAAATAATGCAAGTAATCATAATACCTCATCTCAGAGATATAGACAGATAGAAAAGTGTATGAATGGTGTTAATATGTTGGCTTTTGTTTTTATTGCCTCTTTTCAGAGGACAGAGCGAGCCCAATTTCCAATTCCTCCCTTCGCCGAGAAGACCCAGTCGAGAGTGTCCATTCAGGTGTACAAGATCCCTTGGCAGTCGATCCTGTTTCCACAACATCTGCAGGTGACAAGTATTGGTGGAGTCGTAATCCATACAATCGTAACCGGCACACATCTGGTCGACCCGTTCAAACGACATTGCCCTACTGGTACAGGATCTCGCGAGGAAGCAGCCCCAGCACATCACCGACAAATTTCGCACAGTTCCCAACAACACCCAGACCCCAGTACTGTGATGGACGTCTAGATGCAATGACCGTCGCTACTGACCACAGGACATATGGATTTAGAGGTAAGTATACTTTGGTTGTTTTATTAAATGCATTAAAAAGGTTACAGAAATGAAGCAGCCTGTAAGATTCGAACTTACTACGCAATCATTACTGTGTAACCCAGGCACCCAAGTGAGATTTTTATAGTGTGTCCTTTCAGGAAGTAGGCGATCATGACTCTCCACAGATTCCCTGTGAAATGCCATGATTTCTATGGAAAGATAGTACAATGGTTTCGAGTCACATTTTCCATAGGTTCCTTTTCTTTATTATCTGTGAATTGACATGACTTCTTAAAAAAAGACAGTGAAGTAGTGATTTCCCTTTGGATTTCGTACAGATTTTTTTCTTTATTATCTGAATTGATGAAAATAATAAAATCTCTAGGGTTAATACATTTTAAAAAATCCATTACTTCTTTAGAAATTGCTTTGTTTACGTCTGGATACAAAACTGAGTAGACATGAAAATTTCGAGAATCTATGACGAGAAGAATTACATTGAAGGCACTATTTAGCTTTGCTTGATCGGCATCGCTTCTTCGTTGTCGAGTCGGTTAAAGCACGTCGGATCTAACGGTGCAGGTTCGATCCTTCTTTAATAATATTTCTCGAATATTCAGGCCGGTCGACGAAAATAAACAAACTTACGGATTTAGAGAATATATATAAAATAAATGAAAATATCGCCTTGTCGAAATTTAATTCCATTTCTTTTCACCTCTACTATCAAGGACGACACGCCATTTAGGTGTAATTTTTTTGCCTCTACTTTTAGCCCAACTAGGAATAGATATCCAACAACTTTGATAGGGTATCTGATGTAAGGCTATAATTTTAATGCCTTGCCATTACTAATAAATTAAAAATTAATAAATAATAAAAAGAAATAAATTTTCCCATAATGCAAGTAATAAAGGAACCGGAAGGGTTTTCGTTTATCTACGAAATTTTATGACCCCACTTTTGGAAAGAACAAAATCTTTTTCTTCCCACTTTCCAACGATATTGTTCGGATGTGCTTTGCAGCCTTATTCATGAAGAAATTTGGTCGTTCCAACTCAGCGCAAAGCTGACTTGATCTCAACCCTTGTTATCCTTACTTACCATAACTTATTTCTGAACCAAGAAAAGAAAACAGACATAAACAAGAGATATTGAGAACTTTATTTCACTACAGTCGCCATAATAAAGAATAATCGTTCTGTAGTATAAAGCCGAATTTTTGTATGTTTAATTGTTTACATATGAATATACACGCACTTGAAATACACGTAACTCTTTAAAATGCCATACCATTCTACAGATGTACTAGTGACTTGCATGGTATCTCTTCTGTTTTTGAGTGTATAATTTACACAAAAAAAGGTAAGATACCATGCAAGTCCCCGTATATCTATCATCATCATCATCCTTCGACCATGTCAACCTTCGACCTCACTTTGGTTGACAATCCCTTTCCACACTGTTCGGTCCTGCATTGCTGTCCCCAGATCTCCAATATCCAACCATGAGATCCGAGCTATGGTGTCTGGAAAAGTCAATTTTTATGAGGAGACACTTCCAGAAGGATGCTATAAGAGTAAGAATGAGACGATTTGCCTGTCCGCTCGGTGGCAGTGGCCGGCAAACTGTAATCGTTTTTGTTTGAGCTTAAGAGAAATTTGTCTCAGTTCTCTGTAAATTGTGTTAAGTGTTGCATGGGATTTCCAAATGATGTTCTGGATTTTTCTAAGTAGATTTGTATATGTTCCATCTAGTCGTCTTTCAAGATGAATAGATAATGTCCAAGTTTCTCCATACAGTGGGACTGGTTCAATCAATGTTCGAAAGGTTTGGACATTTAAGGAAGAGGGAATCTACCACTTCGTCCCCAGCCCCTCAACCTCCGGCGTCTTCCTCTTTGGGTTGAGTTTAACATAAATGAGAAAAGAAAAAGAAAGAGACACAATGCATCCAGCGAATTCCCAACAGAGAGAGGGTTTGTGTGTGATATACGCGTCTTGAATTGCCTGGGGTAGGTTTATGACTAGTAGATCAGTCTCATACAGACTTCTCAGAACAGGGGACAGTCTTCCTTCTCTAATTCTCCCGCAAATCTCTCGGGACTCTCTCTGACGACGGTCTCGTTCCCCGACTTTCTCTCCCGTCTCTCTCTTCCGTCTGGCCTCTTCCGTCTCGCTCGACCGTCTGGCGTCTTCCGTCTCGCTCGACCGTCTCCTTGTAGCACCGCGACCCGTAATGGTCACCTGCGGGTGCTCACGCACGTGACGGCAATGTGCCGACCGATTGCGGTATCTCCCGTCTCTCTCTCCCGTCTGGCCTCTTCCGTCTCCATCAACCGTCTGCCTCTCTCCCGCATATCTATGCGTTTATATAGATGAATCTGGTTGATCATGAATCGACCCTTAGCCCGGCACGCGATTATCATAAGTGCCAAAATCTATCACGACATGTAAACCAATTCTCCAACTATTTATCTTATCTCAATCACGAGTTCTTCTCACTTCACCAAAATTATACTTTGGGATATCTAAACATTGATTCAACCTTTTAATCAAAACAAATACAGTTAAACAAAACCAAATATCTCGTAGCCTGAGTAAGCTCTATTTCAATTTTTAACCGATAAATTTTATTTAGATCCTTTTTTCATTGTTTTTTTTTCTAATGACCCAGATTTAAAACATCGCCTCCTGCCCTGAGATCGTGTTTCTCATCGGTAAACACACATCTTAACCCAAATTGTACTTTGATATTTAAACACCATTTCCACTTCCAGTCAATAAAAGTTATATTTGCGTGTGTGCATTCATATGCGTGTATGTGTATACCTCTCTCTGTTACAGGAAGATTCGGGCGCCATTACACGTATCCCATGCAAGAGCTTTGCGGATGTTGAAGTCCTTTTGGGAATCTATTGTGAGATCCAAGTTATTTGAAAAGTCCATATAGAATTATTTTTCGTTATTTCCTCAGTCGTACTTTTTCTTCGTGCTCTTTTCCTACAGTTTGGTAATCAGACAAGTTTTCCTCGGTTTGCTTGACTCAGGGATCAACAAATTCGTCGTCCCATGCAAACGTCAGGGGGTTTGACACTCTGCATCATAATAAATGAAGCAATCGTTTTTGTAATTCTTTTTTTCTAGATAATCTCGTCTTTCGCTTCAACCGGATCAATGTCGACTACGAGTTCCCCAAATTGATAAGCGAAGTGTTTCCTGGTGGACCGACTTCGGTGGATGCGGCAGTAACCTTCAGCAGGAACAGAAAGAAAGTAATGCCTGGGAGTACCTATCTTATCAAGGTAAAAAGCAAAGTTTTTTTTTTACCATTCCGAAAAACAAATCCTGAAACTGTTAAAGAAATGTTTTCTTTAAAAAATTTTAAATACAGGGTGCGATGGATAAATTGTCGACACAAAAATGAAAATAACACTGACATCTCATTTTAACAGATATATTTACCAAAATGACACAAAAATATCTTGAAGTACGAAAGAGTAAATCTATTCAATAAAATCGTCATTGGCTTCAACCACGACCTCTAGGCGACTTCGGAATCTCCTGCAACTCTTCTGGACAGTCTTCTTGTTTAAGTTAGTGAATACTGCCATAATCCTTGCCTTCAGTTCATCTTTGATGTTACAAAGAAATTTGTTGGTTTTTCTCTCAACTGCCCCCACCACACATAATAATCAAGGGGGTTGCAGTTTGAGGAGTTAGGTGGCCTGGTGTAAGGGGTGATGTGGTTGCAGAAATTGTCTAACAGCTATGACTGGCGTCTCCTGCTTTTGTGGCATGGTACAGTCCTGTTGCCAGACACAGGGTCTTCCAGCAGGAACCCTCTTGACCCAGAGCAGCACTACCTCCTCTAGGCACAATGTATTCTTCCGTGTTGAGGCTGAGGCCCTCACCAACAAATCTGGGAGTTCTTTTCCTATCAGAACGATCAGAGTGAGTTTTCAGAGGTACGTACCTTCGTAATCACCATTAGAATCATCCAACTCTTTCCGAATCTTCTGCACTGTCCTCAGATTGACACCCAAACATTCTGAAATGTTTACATTGGAGCTTCCGGTGCGAATGCCAAGCAGTACAGTATGCCGTTTTCAAATTTCTGGTGGACTGAATTGCATCATGGTGCTCTTTTATTCACAGACGGTGCCCAACTGACCCTACTATACTGTGCGGTCGACAAAATAATGAGCATGCGCCAAACTAAAAATATAAAATTGCGACAATTTGCACATCACATCCTGTAGAGAGGAATATACAAGGTATTGTTGATTGATTCATTTTCTATGGCTTATCAACCTTTTTCAGGTTATTCCTAGCAAAAGTTAAAATCTACATTCCATGTTTATTTCTGTGATAAAAATAAATAAATATGACGTTAGGCTACCGCTTGACTAATAAGAAGCGCTCTCTTTTCTCTCTCCTCTGTCCTTTTCATCTCTTTTCTTCTTCTCTACCCTTCTCGTTTTTATACATCTCCCTCTTCTCTCTTTTCTTTCTCTCTCCCCTGCCCTTTTTCATCTCTCTTCTTCATTTGACCCCTTCTCTTTTTTTATACAACTCTCCCCATCTCTCTTTCCTTCCTCTCTCCCCTGGCTTTTTTCACCTCCCTTCTTCATCTCACCCCTTCTCCTTTTTTATACATCCTTTCCCTTCTCTCTTTTCTTTCTCTCTCTCTATCTCTCGTCTTTCTCTCTTTCTTTCTCTCTCTCTCTTTTCTTCCTCTCTCCTCTTCTCTTTTTATCTCTCCACTTCTCTCTTTTCTTCATCTCACCCCTTCTCTTTTTATACACCTCTCCCAGTTTCTCTTTTCTTCCTCTCATCGCTTTTTTGTTTTCTCCATCTCTCGTCTTCTCTCTTTTCTTTCTCTCTCCGTTTCTTTTTTCTTCCTCTCACTTTTCTCTTTTCCCCCTCTCCCCTTCCCTTTTTTATCTCTCCTCTTCTTTCTTTGCTTTCTCTTTCCCTTTCTCTTTTCTTCCTTTCCATTTTTCATCTCTCTCGTTCTCCCTTTTCTTCCTCTCTCTTTTCTTCCCCTCTCCTCTTTTTCATCTCTCCCCTTCTGCCTTTTTTCTCTCTTTTCTTCCTCTCTCTTTTTTCCTCTATCCTCTTCTCTCTTTTCTTCATCTCACTCCTTGTCTTTTTTATCTCTCCACTTCTGTTTTTCTCCATCTCTCACCTTCTCCCTTTTCTTCATTTCTCCATTCTTTCTCTTATCCCCCTTTTCTCTTTTTTTAATCTCTCTCCGTCTCTCTTTTCTCCCTCTCTCCACTTCTCACTTTTCTTTCTCTTTCCTCTTCATCTGTTCCTTACTCTCTTTTATTCATATATCACCCTCACTTTTTTCTTTGCCTCTCCTTACTTCTCTCTTTTCTTCATTTCACCTTATTTTCATCACAAGAGTATAAGAGCCTTCTTTTGTGTTGCCGCTTCGCCAGTCGTAGACGACTTCTCGTGAATATCTTCAAAATGCAATTTTCCCAACTTGTACATATTTCATAGTCTTGAAAAAAGACTTAAATAATTGCTCATTTCAACTACAGACAATTCTTACAAAAACCACACTTGTACATTTCTTCCTCGTTATTTGCTTGTTATAAAATTCTTGACTGTTTTATTTGTTCTGTTCTGGGGTCTTGGTTTATTAATTCTTTCACAACTTAAAAATCTTTGCATTTTGCTATTGAAAAAAAGAAAAAAAAAAAGAAAATTTCTATAAATACTTTCATAGTAATTGTTCAGATGAGCTCTTCGCTATGTTGTTGGGTACCTCGGCGTGGTGTAATGGTTAGCAAGCTTGTTTCGCTAGATCAGTTACGACTAAAAAGTGAGTTCGATCCTATGTATGAGGTACCCCATACTTTTCAAAATCTATTGTGCCACATCTAAGCTACGCTTAGAAAATGTCGTGTCTGAATAAGTGCATGTCAGTGTGAGTGCGTGGGAGGTATGAATGGTTTGCACTATTATTGCATTGATTTCGGCCAGTGATGTTTCTGTCACATGTAGTGATTGTGGGGGGCTTTTATTACTAATCTTATTTTCTTTAGTTTCTTGTAAATAGTTTTTTGTATTCATATTGTAAATACTCATTGGGGTTAACTTTTAGTTTTGTTGTTTTATTTCCTCTCCTTACAGACAATGAATTGTAAATATGGGGACTAGTTAGTATTTTCATAGAGACAAAGAGGTATTATGGTGGTTGTAGTAAGAAAGGTACGTATGGATGTGTTGTTTTGGTGTAAGGAATATTGTTTCGTACGATTGGGTCAGTGATTTGTGGCTAGCTAAGTTATATTTAAGACAGAAGAAGACCGTCCTTTAGGAAATCCCCTTTTCGGCCTTGTGCCACATTTCTGTATTGTACAGAATAAATATTGCTCTTCGCTATGTTGTTTTGTTCATTCAAAAACAATGAATTGTACATATTGGGCCTAGTTAGGACTTTCATAGAGACAATGAGGTATTATGGTGAATGTAGTAAGAAAGGTAAGTAAGAATGCGTTGTTTTGGTGTAAGGAATATTGTTGTATATTTGGGTCAGTGTTTGTGGCTAGCTAAGTTTAAAGTTAAGACAGATGAAGACCGTCCTTCCCTCCCCCCATTCCCCATTTTGGCTTTGTGCCATATTTTGTAAATAAACTACAAATAAATATCGCTCTTCGCTATGGTGCCTAGACTTTTTAAAAATTTAAGGCCAGTACTAGACTGGCGTTAAGATCTCATCAATTTGTAGTTGAGTTGGCTAGATGTAGCCGTAAATTCTCAGTTTCTTTTTCTCGCTCTTCTCGCTTGTGGAACTCCCTTCTGGCTCCATGCTTTGCAGCCAACTCTAAACTGCAAATGTTTAAATGCAATGTCAGTCTATCTACTGTCTTCCTGATTACTCTTTTTTTGTTCTCGTTTCTTAGTAATGTTTTTGCTTTCGAATCCTTCCACAACCAGTAACCCATTGTGTCTTTACTAACTTGCTTGGGGTGAATTCGATTAAAACACCTCCTAACACACACGTACACACACACGCGCGCACACACAAAGAATGGGGCTCGGTTTTATTTACTCGTTGTGTTCCAGATCGCATCATATGTCTTTGCCTCTCTTTTTTTTTCTTCAAATCGGCTTTCCCTAATTACTACTAGAATTTTAGGATACAGGAAGTGAAGTAACATCAGTCTTGACTCTCAGGCAGAATGACCATGGATATTTGTTTAAATTTAGTTTATGGGGTTACCTTATAGTGGCTTATCAGTTATAGTGAAGTGTATGAGTGTTGAAACAGATTAGTTTGATTTGGCCTTGTTAGTTAGATAGCCCACCATAAAAGGGGGTATAAAACAAGAAAATCAAATTGTAAAAAAAAACAACAAATTTATATATATATAAATCAATTAAGGTCTCTAGTGAAAAATTAATGTATTTTGGTTGATACAAGGTCGTCAAAATGTTCGTAGCAGTCCTTACAAGTAGTCCTTACAAGTTCTTACAAGTCCTTACAAGTTCTTACAAGTTCGTAGTAGTCCTTACAAGAATGAGTTTATGTGTACGTAGGCAGGAACGTAAGCAGGTTTTTGTTGCTATCTGAGTGTCGGGATTCCAAACATTTAACAACAACAACACATCTTTTAAATGAAACATAAAAAACGTTATTCGCTGGAGGAAAAGCAAAAGCAGAACGTCAGTTGAAATAACATTTATAAATTCTTTACAGGAATATAGTAGGAGATTGCTGGTTAATCCCTTCTATTGTGTGCGTTGACAAGGCCTTAGTCGGCGGATGCTGGCTGTTTCTCTTTCATTGTGTGCGTGGTTGTGGGTGGGTGTGGATGTATGCACGTGTAGATCAAACTGGCCTCTGAAATTGTTGTGAACCCCGAGAAGAATAATGATTCTATTTTTATCTCTGTAAATGAGATCCAAAATCTAATTTCACATTTCAGGTGTGAACTTTTTGAATAAAAGGTTTTAATTGGTTAGAAAATAATTTCACATACACCCGCGAAAATCTTTCTCTCGAATTTGCGTGAGTGGCGAAGAGAGTTATTGTTTTTTCTAAATGGTTCAAAAATAACACGTGGTAGGTCGACAACTACGTCCTCAATTTTGCCCTTGTAATTATTGTTAATCTAACAAACCTTCTGATGGGATTTTATTGGTTGGTAAATATATACAGATATATAGAATTTAATTCCTATACACTTTCTCAAAAGATATTATATTTATCTTACTTATTATAAAACGCAGATTGTGTGTGTGTGTGTGTGTGTACGTTTATATATTGGATCGGATTTCCTACATTTTTCAAACGATTTCAACAAAACTTCACAGGACTACGTAAAATTACCTTGCGGTGGTTCTGACAGCGCCAAAAATGGGGAAAAACACAATTGTTTTTGCATGAAATCAATTTGTAAACACGATTCTGTCGCCAGAATGAAAGAGGGATAACTCATATCGAGTTATACTTATTATAAAACCCAGGTTGTTTGTGTGTGTGTGTTCGTTTATATATGGGATCGGATTTCCTACATTTTTCAACCAATTTCAACAAAACTTCACTTTTTTTTGGCAGGTAGTGTTTCTTATTGTCTTGCACACTTTTTTCTTTATTTTTACATTCAGAAGGCTTTAAAAATTTCATTTACAAGACAACTGTTTATAATAAAACTCTATTCAATCGATAGACTCATCATAACGATTGAAAACAATGTTTTTGTTTGAGTTTGAACAATTCGTAAAAAAAAAAAAAAAAAAAAGACATGCGTGTCCGTCAACCTTAAACAATAATCTTTGTCAATTTTATTTTTCAGTCTTTATGATGGTCGATACTTGATCTATCTCTTACTGTTACATCCCCGGGCAACGCCGGGCTCTACTGCTAGTCAAGAATATAATCATCCTTATTAGCAATGTGAAAATATCATAACTGAACTATTTTATTCTTTGTTGAGAATATCTGGAATTCAGGATGGAAAGAGTTCTGATAATGGTGAACTCATCTTTCCCTTAAAGATTTTGTGACCTGAAATATTTCGCTAAAAGTAGATGACATTTATTGAATGACCTGTAACAAAGACATGTTACAGGATTGCAATGGACGAGGGTGTTGTTGGTCATCAATTTTTAGCTGCAGGAGATTAGCTTTCTTGCTGCTGGTGCTGCTGAAGACTTTCAGAATAAGAATAAATTAATTAAAAAATGGAGTATTTTAATGTATATATGTATATAAAGAATAGCTCATAATATAACAGAAAGAGAAAATTATATTTACCTGTCTACAAAAACCGGGAATAAAAAAAAACATTTATATGTTTAACTGCAATGTGTGTAGCGGGTATGAGAGAGGGGGAGAGAGAAAGAGAGAGAGAGTGTTTGTCAATGTTGTGCCACATGGTTGGTTTGAAATTAAGTAGTCGGCTGTCTGGGAAAGAATCTCTCCCGGCAAAGACAAGTTTCATTGATGTCGTTACTACATCTCGCAGCAAAAGGAGAGAGAGAGAGAGAGAGAGAGAGAGAACATTCATGTCTCTTCCTTATATAGTCCTGAATACAACGCCACCTTGCGACGTTAAGCTAAGGCTATCAGCAGACAAGGTGGATGGTAATCCTCACAGACTGAACTAAGATTTTACGAAGCATTCTTTATTTTTCTTTTACTGAGTCTTTGTTGCTTTATTATAAAAATGTAACAAATAATTCGTTTCTTTTCTCGTTGATTATTCTTCAGGGTAACCTTATTTGGCGCTATCGTCACACAGAAGATGGCTTCCAGCTAGAGCATTTCTACCCAAAACCTTGGGCGAGAGAGTGGGACGTTACAGGAACTAAGATCGAATCGGCTTTTATGCTGGGACGGAAAGTTTACTTACTTATCGGTAAGTCCACACCTACATACAACTGGAGGGAAGGTAAACTCTGTTTTGATCAATATTTGTATAATGATAGAAAGAGCAAAGGTAGAGGAGGGAGTAGAAGGAGGAAGAAAAGGAGAAAGATCGAAAGAGACAGGAAGACAGGGAGGTGAGAAGAGAAGTAGAGACGGACGGAGAGAGAGAGAGAGAGAGAGAGAGAGAAGAGAAGAAGGAAGAAGAATAGATCCCTGAAAAACAGACATTTTATTGACTTGAAATTCAGTTCTGTATTCTGATTCTGTCTCTCATTTTTTCCTTCTCTCTGAGCCCTTCTCTACTTCTTTTCACCCTCCCTCTCTCCCCGTTTCTTCCTCTTACTGCTCCCTTTTCTTCCTCCTTCACTGTTTAACCCTCAAATGGGGTGTTCACTACTCTCTATCCTTATACTGAATATCCCCATCACTAATATCTAGTTGGCGTTCCCCAAAGATCACGTGACAACAATCTCCTCGATATAGCAGCACATTCCTCAGTAGCATCTCTCTCTCACTCTCTCTTTTTCTTCCTCGTACTGTTCCCTTCTTCTCCTCCCTCTTTCTTATTCATTTCACTACTGTAACCTCCCGTTAGTCATAAGAGGTGTTTTGTTAACCACAAAATTTAAAATAGTAGACATAATTACTATTTGGCAAATTGTTTCTTTTACTCTACCCCACTACTCTCCTGACCCAGTGAGGATGCATAGCACGCGGGGTGGGGCAGTTGTGGGTCAGCTGAATTGAGAGGAAGATGTCATGAGACAATCCACTTCTGAAAAATCAAAGGCGACTAAAGCAATGTTAAAAGAAGTGGTTGTTTTAACAGCATGGCCTCAATTCCAGTAAAGAATGATTTTATGAAGGCAATTTGATGAAAGAGATCGAAATATGAAGAAAATCCCTCAGGATTTTCTCTTTCAACAAATATTAATTATTGATCATTAAACTAACAATCTTATTAGGGGCACCACACATAATGAAAAATATAAAATCCGTTATAAAGGACTGAAAAGGGAAACAACTACCAAAAGTGACTATCGGAAAGTACAAGCAATAAAGATAATAAATGAAATAAAATAAGAGAATGAGCTAACCGGTTATCACTCCTCACTCGTCAGGCCTTGATCAAAGAAAGTAATATATTTGTGCACAACTGACTAAAAAGGAAATGTGAAGCAATAAAGACGATAAATGAAATAAAATAACAGAATGAGTTAACCAGTTGTTGCTCCTCACTGATGAGAACTCGATTTAATAATGCAAACATTTTTGTGCACACCGACTAAAAGGGCAACAGCTTAAAGAAAATACACATATATCACAATAAGATATTGAGACGGGTATATTTTTATAACCAAATCACAGTCAGTCCTAACAACTATTCCATTTACAGTAGGAAGGCATGTAGAGGACCGTGTGTGTTTGAGTATTGTTGAATTAGAAACATGTGCGTTTATTTTCTGCTAGAAGATCCAGCTACTAGAAAATGGCGGACTCTAGTTGTGTCCAACCGAAGATGAAAGGAAAACAAATAAGACCAAGATATATATATATATATATATATATATATATATATATATATATATATATATAAACAAATATATGTATTAAACAACGCAATTTTACAATGGACATAGACGTTAACATTTGTGTGTGTGTGAACATTTGTGTTTGTTCTTTGGTGAATGTTCGTATGTATGTGTATGTGTGTATAATGTTCATGTTCAACTTTGAAACGCTATCTTTTGCGAGAGCTCACATTGTAGAGGTGTTCGCTGAAATGAAGAAATGAAAAAGAGAACAAGGTGAGAAATCGCCCAGTATTTATAGCATAGGGAGAGCGACACCTAGTGAACAATTAGCGAATTAAGGAGGAGCTAACTTCGACAGGCACTTGAAACAGCTGGTTAATAACTTTGCTTTGGATGTATATATTTATCAGATTTGTAGTATACATAAATCGACACATGAAAACGTGATTCTTAATCAGTGACAGTGTGGACTAGAGTAAGAAGTGTGTAATACTTTTTGCATTATTCCTCCTAATGTAAAATACTTACAATATTTTATGTATAACTACTAACAACGTAATAAATTATGTTATGATGTTAATAATACCTGTTGCAAAAGAACAAACATAATTAAATGGCACAAAAATGAAAAAGTGTAGTCATCAGATGCAAAAAAAAAAACAACATATAATAGCAATAATAATGAATAAAAGGATGAACTAATCGGTAATAAAACTCAATTGGGGAAACCAAAATTTTTTGTGCATAATTCACTAAAACAGAAACATGATCAGAAAATACTAGCATATCATTAATATAGTGAGGTAGGTATATTTTGCTTTTTTCTTTATAAACAATAAACATTAAATCCTAACAAACAAACATTCTGCTTGTTTATTTTATTATTGCTGCTTTGTCTATATCTCTGATATGAGGTATTATGATTACTTGCATTATTTACATTATTCGGACTGTTATCTTCATCTTCATTACAATATTCACAACGTTTCGGCCGTTGTATGCTACAGCCTTTATGTCTATGTCTCTCTAGATATCTGTCTATATCTCTGAGATGAGGTATTATGATTACTTGCATTATTTACATTATTCGGACTGTTATCCTCGTCTTCATTGCCATATTCACAACGTTTTGGCTGTTGTACACTTCAACCTTCTTCAGGTGATTGGAATTTCAAACCAAACATTTTATTTTGTCCACCGTTTTCTAGTTGTCTCAATATTTTTGGTATATTGGGTCTGTACCAATTCTTCAATATTTGCCTATATCTCTGAGATGAGTTATTATAATTACTTGGTGCAATGTTGCAAATATGGCAATGAAAACAGACCAAATAATGTAAATAATGCAAGTAATCATAAGACCTCATCTCAGAGAGAGATCTAGACAGATATTTCTTGTTCCAGTTAAACATTGATTGGAGGTCAGCAGGAAAACAAAATAAAATCAATATAATGTTAATTCTGTGGCCAAACATTTGGCTGACAGAGGTTTCACTAAAAAAATACAAGTAAAACTTGTAACAATCAATACTTTAAGTATTTTTTAATTGACAGTATTATAAGGTAGAATAGGACTAATAATTACTACTGAATTTCAAGTGATTAAATTCCTAAATCTAAATTTAAAGTTAAAAGTTTTCCTAAATCTAGTTTTAAAGTAAAAGTTTATTTGTTTATTGAAATTAGTATTTTTAAAAATGTTTGAGTTTATTTGGGTAAAAAGTAGCACCTAATTATTTAAATTCGTATTTAACAGTAAGATAAAAGCTAGTTCATCTCTTTAAGATAATGATCATTAAAAGTGTACTCGAAAGATATTTCATATCGTAAAAGCTTAAGATTTTTGCTGTGCCTTTTCTCAAAATACTTATCATCTTACAGTAATATTTGAAGTAAAATATAATATATACAGATTTTTAAAGAAGTCTGTCAGAAAATATATATATATATATATATATATATATATATATATATATAGCTTAGTATGATAAAGAGTGTGACATGCATATAAGTATGCCACTACATTTTCAGCTAAATGTCTGTCAGCTAAATGTCCGAGTACCATTAATTCTAACCTGAGGAAGCCAAAGAGGCTAGATGCTTTTTTTGGTGGCACATTTTTAATAAATTTTCCACTTTGCAAAAATGGCCTGTAGTCATAGTATCTGGTGTCTCTTCACTGGAGATCATTTTTCACAGTGGGCTTAATACCTCTACCCTGATTTAGTCCCCTTTTTGACTTTCTATTTTGTATCTCTCTGCTAGATTTATACAGTGTAACCCGGATATAAGAGAGTTGTCGGGACCGGAGAAGAAGTCTCTTATATCCGGGTTTCTCTTATATCCGGGTTTGGTCTATTTTATATACATTAACACAGGCTCTAATTTGGGACCAGAGAACATCTCTCTTATATCCGGGTTTCTCTTATATCCGGGACTCTTATATCCGGGTTACACTGTACTCATTTTGTCTCTCTCTCTCACTTTCTCTCTTTGCAGACAATCGTATTTGGCTCCTGAAAGGCAAGAAATCGCGTCGTAACAAGTTTTACGACAAGAACAAAATCAAACTCTTCAATCAGATCCCGGATTTCCAAGCAGCTGTTCAGTGGATCAACCGTAACACATACTTTTTCTCTGGCAATGAGTATTATCGTGTCAAATTGCCTGCTCAGCGAAAGAAGATCATGTTGTCCGGGCCCCGGGAAACTGCCTATTGGTGGTTTGGGTGTACCAAAGTACCGCATATTCGACAACCTTTTGAAAATGATGACGAATGGGACTTGGAATTGAACAAATAAAAAGAGATCTTCTCTTTTTTTCTCTCTCTCTCTCTCTATATATATATTTCTTTCTGTCTTTCTCTTTTTTATCTCACTCTCTCTCTCTCTATATATATATTTCTCTCTCTCTCTCTCTTTTCTCTCTTTATATATATATTTTTTTTTATCTCTATATATATATTATATTATTTTCTTTCTGTATATCACACAGACTCTCCCTCTCTATATATTTCTTTCTCTGTCTCTTTCTTTCTCTTTCACTCTCTTTTTTCACCCTCTCTCTCTCTATATATATTTTTTTCTCTGTCTCTTTCTTTCTTTCTCTCTCTCTCTTGTTCTCGCCATCTTGTAAACTGTGTTGATGAAGCTGACATTTTAATCTTGAATACATTAAATATATATTATTATAATACTTATATATTTGTACTTGTTGAGCTTTCATAACATTGGAGACCAAGTGACAGCAAGCCTACTCAATACTCCAGCACTCTCCTCAGTATTCTTGCTGATTTTATTAATCCTGTTGGTTCTGGATATTTTTTTTTATTTTATTCTTCCTCAGATTTCCAATTATTCACATTTATTTATTTATTTTTTGTGGCTGTTCCAAGTGTTCTAGTAACAATAGGTATAACTGTCACCTTCATGCTCCACATTATCTCGAGTCTTTTGGCAAGGTCCAGACACTTCTTCGAAAATTACTTTCTTACAACTTCACTCTGCTGACAGATTATTTTTTCAAACACCACTAACCTGGTTATTCAATGATTCATTATATTTAAGATTTCCACAGAATATTATTATTATTATTATTATATATTATTATTATTATTATTATAAGTAGTAGTATTACTAAATTTGTAGTATTTATATAGTAGTAGTTTTTTATAAATAAACAAACGTATTTTGAGTGGTTAGAATTTTTTTTTCTGACAATGAATTCTCCGGTTCGAATATATTCATAAATATTTAATTTTGTCAAAAAGGCGATTTTTATGCTTTCGGAATGGATAAAGACGATATTTTTTTCATTTTTATTTTGGAAAGTGCCTGAAAACCATAGCATGGATTGACCCAAAAAATTTAGTGAAATTGGGTTTACAGAACCCTTATTAAGCCATTACAAATGAAATCACAAGTCATAATTTGATAATATTGAGCATGTTGGCCTTGTTAAAATTGTTGATCACGCTTAGAGACATGTTTTTCTCCCAGAAACTGTAACTAAGGTCTGCTACATTGTTACATATAAACCACAGGTGGGCTCTGTGGGTGTTAAATGAACACAAATGTGCCTAATTAAGCATTTAATAGGGATTATATTCGCCCTAGTAGAATATTATCCTTGAATATAGTGGCCAGCTATACTATATACTATACTTTTTGCAATCATTAGTCATTATCAAGTCATTTTCTATTAGCAAATATTAATTATCATTAAACTTTATTATTAATATTATTAAATTATATCTTTAAGAACAGGCATATTAAAAAGTATATATTAATGTATAATACATACAAATAAGTCATTTTTTCATATAGACTTTTTTAATCTGACATTATTTGTTATTGTTATAATAAGAAATAACAGTTTAAAAAGATTCATTTAAAAATTTTTTGTTACTGTGTTTACATTTCAGTATGTAACATTTTTTGTGTTTACATTTTTAAATGTTTACATTTTTACATTAAAAAAATGTAAACATGTAATACTTTAAATCAGTGGTTCCCAAGCAATTTGAGACCAAGTATTTCCACTTTCAATTTAAAAAATATAATTTAACTTTTTGTAATATCTAATTCTTACATATTCAAAATTTTACTGCAATTCACATAAAGGAAGCTTAAAAGGCCATTAACTTGGTTTCTAAACAAGCCTCCAAAGACCATGGCATCCATGAAGGAGAAAAATTAAAAACCAAAAAGACAGTTAAATATATATATATGGTTTCAAACCATATAATAGAGAACTGAAAGGCAAAAACATAAAATATTTGAATGAAATGTTATTCTGTAATATACTTTGATCCTTTTAATCATGAAATAATAAAAAATAAAATGAAATTTGAATGAGCTCATGATAAGTTATATATTTTCTGAAGGGTGATTTTATAACGGATGCATAAAAATTTAAACAATTATTAAATGACGAAAAAATAGATTGTAAAAGGCATGCATCCCATGTTGGGAATCATTCTTTAAATATATTTGATTTTTTTAAAAATTTAGAAATTCAAATTTATTTTTTTACATGATTGATTAAATAAATAAAAAATTTAATCTGAACTTATTCAAAAATAATCCAACTATATTCATTGAATAAATTTTGTATTTAATCAAATAAATTTAAATTTATGTAACAGTGAAAATCGTTTTTTTTAAGAATTTTTCCATCAGTTTTCTGAGATCATCATCTAAATTAGTAATAAATAAAAATAAGAAGTTATGCATTACTGAAAAATTTCAGTTTTTCTTTGGTGTTTATTAGAATGTGAAAATTTTCCACTATATAAATTTTCCTTTTTATATTGGAGTTCAAATCAACAAAAGAAATGTTGCATAATGAAAAGCATGATAACTGTTTTTTAAAAGGCATTTTAGAACATTATTACAGTATTTTCAGTTGATTAATATATTCAAAACTGTCAGCCACTGCATTTAAAAGCAAGAAGAAATGTTTCCAAGTAATGGATAGCTGCATATATTTTTATTTTACCATTTTGCATATTTAAAATGATGATGATTAAAGGAAGAGATGGAAAACACTTGTTTAAATAAGTGTTTTATTTATTTTGCATTTTTGATTTTTGATTGAATGTTTACAAAAAAAGTATCAATGAATATGAACAGATTATGCTTGTAAAAAAAAAAAAATAAAGTTTGTAAAAAATATTTAATATTATATTATTGATTATATATTAAATGAAAAAAGAATGCCTATATTTTATATTTTTTTATATTTTTTTTTTATAAAAAAATTTTAGCATTTAAAATCATGATTTTTTTATATATTATATTTTATATATATATATATATATATATATATATATATATATATTTAAAAATGTAATGCTAGCAGATATAGTTGAAAATTTTTAAGATAAAATTAATTTTTTTAATATGAGCTTTTGAAAATTATTAGGATGCGTACATTTTTGTTGACCAAATTAACAGTATGCTTTGGATATAGGAATGGATTCACTGATGGAAAACGGGGATTCAGAATTCAATTCATTTTATAAACACATTTTTTTTTTTGGAAATTCAATGTTCTATACTTGTTGATATTAATTTTGAGTTAAAAAAAAAAATAAAAAAAAAAGGAATTCAATCAAACACATGTTTTAAACTAAAAATAATGTTTACAGCAGAGGTTCCCAGTTTTTTTTATTATTTATGATTTTTTTTACATTGAAAAATTTTCCATTTTTTTGTATAACAGATATTATTTTTACATAAAAAATTTTATTTAAAAAGTTTTTACTGGTTCATAAACTGATTTATTGATGTAGTAAAATAACCAAAGGAATAAAAATAATGCTGAAGAAGTAAAAATAAGAAATATATCTGGTAGAACTATCCATGTTAAAGAACAATTTAAAAAAAATTTGACCATTGAAAACTATATATATATAATTTAGTTTTAGGGTAAAGGTTTTTTTTGGTTTTAAAAAAAGGCAACTGTCGATAAAAAATTAAAAAATTATTTTTGTTCATAATTATAAAAGAATATACACTACTTGCAATTAATAAAAATTCAGCCAAATATTTTTTTGTTGTTCTTGGTCTTCCCTTATCTGATTTATATCCAAAAAAAATATTATTTCATCTGAAGAACCATTTGAATGTTAATAACTGTTCTCAAAACTATGGAAAATACCAAAATATTCCTTTTTTGTTGGGTATTTTTATATCTTAATCAAGGAATTTCACCCATTTAACCTCCTGTTTTGTTTTGTTTGTTTGTTTTTTTTACAGCTTCTTTGTATATAGCCTTTAAATATTTTTTTTTCAGGTAGCATACATTGAAATACGTTTTTAATACTCAAAATCCTATATTGCCCACCAAAATTTCCAATTCTGTTGCTAATTGACCACCCAACTGTTGAAGTTACCCACTGGTGGGCGATATCACCCAGGTCGGGAAACCCTTGTTCATAGTAATATAGAAAACAAATCGGTAAGCAGAAGGAATGGTTGTTAGGTCAAATGTTATCTATGACTCATATTGCTGCTTCTGGTAATTCTTCCTGTTAGCATATTTCAGCCATTCAGACCAAATAAAATAATTTTTTTTAATCTTTATTTTTCAAGATGAGCTTAAAAATGAAAAAATAAAAAACTGGTTATTTACTTTTTGTAACAAAACCCATATGATTTTCCCATTTACAATTTGACATAATATATATTATATATATATATATATATATATATATTATATATATAATAATGGACTCTCCCGTCGGTTTCGACGTATGAGGATCTGACAACTTAATTGATTCAGTTATGAAATTTTGTGCGATAATCTTAAGTGGCACTTAAGACCCGCTAGTGATTTACAAAGGAGGCTGCATATGGAGCAAGAGTGAGGATTGTGGGATGAGATCACTGTTAGATTGGCTGACCTTTTAGATCTTGCTCTCGCTTCTTGAAGACGATTCAGACAAGCAGATTGAAAACTGCTGAGTCCACTAAAACACGTTGATCTCCATTCTACCCGCTCCAAGGCTAAGCGCTCGAGGGTGTTATGAGGTATATTGACAGCTGACAAGTTGCTCTTCAGCTTGTCTTTGTATCTTAGCCATGGATGTCCTACATTCCTGTAGCCCTGATCTAACTGGCTGTACATTAGGATCTTGGGTATCCTGTCATCAGACATTCTCAAGACATGACCAGTCCACCGTAACTGAGACTGTATGAGAAAAGTCTCGATTCCACC